CCCCCCCCCCCCCCCCCCTGCAAAAATCAAAGCCACAATGCAGGAGGACCAGCACGGACTTCCAGCAACTCGATTGCAATGGCAGCAGGGAGCAGGCTGCGGGCGTCAGCTCAGCATCATCCACATGTGCAGGTCAAAAGTTGTTTGTTAACAAGTTTAGTGTCATGCCCAGGAGCCAAGAGCCAGCAGACAGTAGGAGTCTTTCCCGCTTCGAGTGGAGTCCGTGTCTGTAACAGGATATGCTCACGTTATGGCATTTGCTTCTTAGTTGTTGCTGCTGTTGCTGCTGTTGCTGTTGTCCTGCTGTTTCCGACAATTCATTTGCATTTCCGTTGTGCGCCAATCTGCTGCACAAAAATGTTCAACTTCAACTTCAATTTTGACTCGTGCCCAACACCCACATTCGCATCTCGCACAACAAGCAGCCTAATCAGCGACTGTCAAGTGTCCAACAGACACACACCTACCGAAGGATGGACTGACAAGTGACAAACGCTAATGAAATGTCACGAGTGCTGAGGGGCAGTGTGTCAGAGAGAGAAAAACAGACAAGTTTTGCGTCAATCAGCGTCTGAGAGTGTGTGCTCCGAGAGTTTCGTGTCCAATAACTTTTGTTTGAGTGCCTCAAACCACTGCAAATTCCTCTACACTTTCCCCTGCACATTCTATTGGCTAACTGTTAATATCCACACCTCTCGGGTCCTCTACACATCAGCCATTGACCAGCACTTGACATGTGACCGACGTAGTCCATCAACAAATCCATTAAAAAAAAAAGTAACCAAAGCCTCCCTCGGGGGCATGTTCGGGCGCTGCCAACACATCACACGGAATGTCAGCAAAAGGAGAATGGAAATGGTAGAATCGTGCTGAATGTCACGTCTAAATAGAATAGCAATAACGACGGCGCATCGAGCGTCAACGGACTGCGGCTTTTACACCGAATTAACTGGATTATGGGCGCAGCACGTCCCTGGGGGAATGCTCTCGATCCTAGATGCCCAGCAAGTAATGCAATTTTTTCTCTCTCTCTCTCTCCCGTTCTCTTTTTGCAGAAGATGCGGTGCACATTACGGCCATACTTGGCGAGGGTGTCATCTTCAACTGCCATGTGGAGTTCCCCAATGACCATCCGGTGCCGTATGTCCTGCAGTGGGACAAGAAGGTGAGCGAAACGGTACGATATCACAGATAACATTTCTTCTCTAAACTCTCTTTTTTTACAATACGTTGTTCTGATACGCAAAAAGCAAGAAAAAGTAAGAAACAGTCAGATAAAAAAAACGACCAAAAACCCGACCCGTTACCACGCACGCAAGAGGGCGCCACACAGTAAACCAAAAACCAAAACCAAATCAATCAACCAATAAAATGAATACTACTACTGCTACTACTACTCTATCCTACTCCCAAATGAATACTCTAATATTCAGTGTGATATTTTCTCTATAAATACAAAATACTGAGAGCATCTCGAATCATTATTTCTTGAGTTTTTCTGTTATTTCTTGGCATCCTTTCTGTTAACTTAAAAGCTTTCAAATCAGCTACGGCTTTCGGCTTGCAGTGCTGCAAACCCTTAAACAGATTAAATTTGTGTTCCGATATATATACAGCCGATATCGGATATACGTATAGTCAGTCTACCTTGCTTGAGATAACTATCGTTCGTATAAGTGTTCGTTTATGTGTTTGCCCGATTGGTACCTACTCGTATTTTGCATACCATTTATTCGAATTTTAGTTCCAGTTCTTCATCTACCATCTGACCCAACCCTACAGACACACAACACACACACTGACACTGTTCTCTCCTAGGCAGCAGGCTTACTTTCAGCTTTGTGCAAGCGAAACATTCTTCCACACACAACACACTCTACTGTACACACACTCTCTGTACACTCTGAAATGATTATTTTTGCGGCATTCGAATGAAACAATTTTTAATGAAAATTATTTATCAATTTGAAGGGCATTGAACGGGCTTCACAGCACCCGGATACCCCACCCACAAAGAGAGCGAAAGAGAAGAAACTCGATCAAAATATATCTAAAAAAAAAAAACAAAAAAACAAATAAAATTCACAAAACCCACCAAATTCCATTTTCGAAATTCGTTCGACTCGAAACATAAAACTACATAAAATATATGTACAACACACACACACACACACAGCCAAAATGTAGCGTTTAGCTTAGCGGCTCACTGCAACGAACATTTTACCAGCTCTTGTTATTCTCCTCCTCTCTCATCTAAATGCAAAAAACCAAACTCAAATCCAAAAATCCAAAAATCCAAAACAATTAGCCACAACATTCATAGCTGAGCAAAGTACACGTTCCACTCTCACGTACTCTCGGTACTCCTCGTGCTCGTATTGAAAACAAATTAGTCACAGAATTTTCTCAGATTTTCTCCACTGCACTCTTGAACCACAACCCACAACAGGCACCAGGCAGTGTCACAGTCGGAGGGAAATATGCTAATGTTTGGCAAAGTTGAGCCGTAGATAAACAGACGAAAGATTTATTCTCCGAATTCCGTGAGGATGAATGCGAAAACTTTTCAACTCTGCCACTGGCCATCCGGACAATCAGTTAGTGACGGATTGATGGCAGTACTCTGACTCTGACTTTGACTCTGCCAAAAGTTTTGCCACCAATGCAAATTCCTGTAGGATAAGCAAATTGTATTCCAATCAAATAAGCAAACGAGGCAATCCAATACTCGTAATAGACAGCACCAGCAAAAACACCAAACCAAACCACCCCACCACCACCCACACTCATAACTTGTTCATACTCTGTTGAAATTCTTTAATTTTCATTTCGGAATTTTCTGTGTAATAATATATTGTGTAATAATTTGCATGCCGCTCTCTCTCTCTCTCTCTCTCTCTCTCGCTGGTATTTTATTTCTCATTTTTCACTGTCTCCTCTGTGTCTCTGTGTGTCGCTGGGAGACATTGCAGCTGTAGCAATGGAAACTTTGATAAAGCCAACTAACGTGGGCAACCTCAAGCTCAAGCTTGAGCTTCAACTTCAACCTAAAACCTCAACCTCAAACAGCTTACTTTCCATAATTTCAAGCACGCCTAAGCCTAGCAAACTAACTTTCTTCAGGCGGCCAGAGAGTGGAAGTGGAAGTGGAGTGGGGCTGCTGCTGCTCTAGTTCCAGCGATTGTTGCCTGCCGCTTGATAGCAAAAACTAAGAAAAACCGCAAGGATAATAAAGTGGAAATGCCGACGCTGTGGCCAGGATAAGAATGCAATGTGGGGGGGATGGGCATGGGGGCGTCAAAGTCACGCGGAGAATGCACTGCAAAAAGTTCCTTCTGTCTATGTGGTGTGTGTGTGTGTGTGTGGCAGATAACGTCCTCCTGCTGTCCTCCTGCTGCCGCTGCCTTTTTTGTGCGAAAGTTAAAAGTTTTACAAGCAATTTTAATGCCAAACAAAGTTATAAGTACTGCAAAAAAGTATGTTTATGTTTTGTCGCGATAAAAATGCACACACACACACACACACATCGAGAATGGGAAAAATGGGAAAAACGTAGCAAAAGAAAAACATTAAATGGCCGAATTAAAGGGATTAACATGGCTTTAGCTTTTAATTTATGCCCTCGTATATCTCTCATTCTCTCTGTCTCTCGGGCCTTACATGCATTGCTGGACCATAAAAGTGGATGGAAATGGAACAGAAAATTCCGTGCGCTATTCATTAAATGCTGCCTACTTTTGTGAGCGCGCTCTTTAAAGCAAAGAGGGAGAGAGACGACAAATAGGCCACACCGAGCAGAGGCGTCACAGTCTGGAGTTGCCTTAGTTGCAATCTAAATTAATTGCTACTGAATAAATTAAGCGGAAAAATGTTTGCCGAGCCAACTTATGACGCTTCTGCGAGTGCGAATATTAATTTTGGCCCCCAACGACCAAGGGCCCAGAGAGCAGGGGCCAGGACCTCGTTTGTTGCCTGTCTGTCTATCTGTCTGTGTCTCACTCTCTCTCTGTCTGTCCCTGAATGTGCCACGACAGGGTCCCTTTGCTCCGCCTCGTGTGCCACGGATGCCAAAGCAAATTATTTCATACGTCAGCCTAGGAAATTATTAAAACGTCCATAAGTTTTAATAAGCGAGAGAGGCGTAGGCGTAGCTGCCTATCTATCGTTGCCAGACGGCAGGCAGGCAGCAGCAAGCCCCCGTCTAATTACGAAAATAAATCGATTAACTCTCAGGGCTCAGGGATAACATGGCGTATGAGCAATTTTCTTACCAATTATTTATGTATACGCAATTATCTCGCAGTGCCAGAGAGGCAACGGAAGAGAGCGCAAAGACAGGCAGTAAAGAATCATTTTCCTTCTTTTTTTTGCCAGCAAGTGTTAATGCTTGGCCGGGTTTTGGCCACCTTCTGGTCATGCGAAAGAATTCGAATCGAAAATGCATTCGGTTCAATGCATTCGTTTTTTTGCCCCTGCCCCTCTGGCATGTGGCATGTGTGGAAATAAACAAAGGACCTGCCGGAGGAAGCCAGAGGCGAGGCGGGGAGGGTTTGCCTTTTTTTTTTTTTTGAGGATTGGGGGCGAGTGCAGGTTAACCCCAATTTTTGCTACTCGCCTCAACAAAAAAATATTTTTTACATGCACAACAAATTTTTGCTGTATTTTTTGTATCTGCACAAGCTACAATTTCAAATGTATCCCTCGCTCTCGGTTGGCCCCGTCGTTGTTTTAGTTGCTGCCTTACACACACACACAGCAGATACACACAGCTACAGATGATTTATTGTTGCCAGCGTGTCCCTGGCACACTCGCTCTGTGTGTGTGTGTGCCTTTGGGGGCTGTTGATGAGCATGCAAACTGCTCGGCAGGCAGCGGGCTTGTGTTGACAGTGAAAATGTGTGGCCATATCGGTGTGTGTGTGTGCTCGGTGCGTGTGTGTGTGTGTGTGTTTAGCATGAGGCAGCGCAATTTCTTCACGGTAACGTGATGAGTTTTTGTTTTGACTGTTTGTAGATTTTACTTCGCTAAACAGACAGAGACACAGACGGAGACGAAAACGAAGTCGCAGTTATGTCATTGTATAACTGTGCATGTAACTGTGTGTGTATTTCCTGTGTGTGTGTATGTGTTTGATGTGTCGCAACTCAATTTATTTCTGACAGTTGTTTAGTTGTTTGTGTGCTCCAACAGAAACTTGAATTTCCGATTAGTGTACGCAAAGTTTTTCGCCTTTTTTTTGCGTGCCTTAGCACCTGCATGTCACGTAGAATATATGTAGCAAAGATGTAGAGTACATAGAGCATAAATAATGCATGCTGCCGCATATGTTTTTTGTACATAAATTAACATTCGCTTCGTATTCGTTCAGCCTTCAAAAAAACTCATAAACTTTGCAACAAAAAACTATCTATAAACCCATGTAATTCCTCCCTGTAACCTGTCCCCCACCCCTCCATTTGTGTACGAGTGTAAATTCAGACTCCGTTTCGTATCGTATGTACAGAAAAATGCCATATAGCACCCATGCATAACGTTACAAGTCGAAGATCGAATCAAAAATCTGCAACGCGAATCACAACCAAACAGATCACGACTAATGGCTCGCTTTTTTTTATTCTTAAACCCACCGAATAAACAGGGCTCCGATCTGCCCATATACATCTGGTATGAGAGCTATCCGGAGCACATCGAGGAGGGCTACAAGGGGCGCGTGTCGCGCGTCTCACAGGACTCGCCGTTCGGCAGCGCCTCGCTCAATCTGACCAACATCAGGGAGTCGGATCAGGGCTGGTATGAGTGCAAGGTCGTCTTCCTGAATCGCGATCCCAAGCAGCACAAGAACGGTACATGGTTCCACTTAGACGTACATGCACCGCCGCGCTTTAGTGTTACGCCCGAGGATATAATATACGTTAATTTAGGTGAGTAAATAATGTGCAGAGTCCCTCCGTCTATAAATTACATTCACTTCTCATATTTGCTGCACTGTCAACGTGCCACAGATTAAGTGGCAGCCACCTCTGCCGCCTATTCCTGCTCCCTTTTCCTTTTTCCTTTCCTTTTTTTGACTGTGTCAAATGGCCGGCAATTTGTTGCAGCGCCCCGAATGAGTTTGTCACCTTGGAAATGAACAACAGTGCCCCGACCTCTCCACATGCGTCGTAAAAAGTGGGCCATACTTTCCTTTCCTTTCTTCCCCAAGGAGTTATGTGTCCGCCATTTGTCATCTTCTGAATGGGCAAAGTCCGAACGTAGACCGAAGAGGGGGCAAAAATCGATAAGCTCTTTATGTTCGCAATCGCATCAAATCAAATTTCCGTCGCTTAATCAAAAGTTAAAATGTTTACAAGTCCAAGGGGCTGGGCCACACCGTAAGATCCTCTAAAGCGAAACAAAAGACGTTTGTCGGAAATGCGTTGCGTTGAGAGAAAATGCGGCGTTGCAGCCGCATAAATCATGCACAAAACGGAGGGGAGGCATAACGACGAGTGAGACGCAGTGAGGCGGCACAAAGTATGACTACGAAGGACGAGAACGAGCTGCAACAAAGAGCCTCCGACTGGGTAAACCATTGTCTGTCTGCTGCAAATGGTGATGGTGCACAGCCAGCTAACAGAAACAAAAGCCACAGTTTTAACCGGAAGGAGGCTGGCCCGTATCCTGGTCATTACACCCCCCTTTTCCACACACACATTTTCGCATCAAATGAAACCAAAAAGCGTAACAATTGCCACCACTTACCTTATTAATTTCTCTCGTTCTCGTTCTCGTTCCTTCTCTCTGGCTTGCTGTCATTTCCTTTTGCAGGTGATTCAATTATACTCAATTGCCAGGCTGATGGCACACCGACCCCGGAAATACTTTGGTACAAGGATGCCAATCCCGTTGATCCCTCGCCCACGGTGGGCATCTTCAATGACGGCACCGAGCTACGGATCTCAACCATACGGCACGAGGATATCGGGGAATACACTTGCATTGCACGCAATGGTGAGGGGCAAGTCTCCCATACGGCCCGTGTTATAATCGCGGGCGGCGCTGTAATCATGGTAAAAACCTAAAAATACAAATCAATTCATTTTGAGAATAACATAAACGAACAAATCGGAATGTAAATTTAAATTTAAATTTAAATTGGAAATTCGTATGCCAAAAGGCAGGGGCAGGGACTGGGTTCAAGCGTTTATCAAATCATTGGCCAAAAAAGTCTTCTCGCGGTCTCGCTCTCTCTCGCTAATAGTTTTCTTTGTATGTATATTCTTTCCACTGCCCAAATCCTTGATTTAAAATAAAGGATAATGCCGCGAACGACAAGCACGCACGCACCAAGTCCACCAAGTCCCCCCAGGCGAATGCCATCAATGAGAAATTTGCCATAAGAGTAAGTGTTGAACTCTAATTCCTATTCCGACTCTCCACTCATCCTCTCTGTTTGCATTCCGCATTCTGCATTCCGCATTTACTGCATTTATAATCAATGTTCAACGCTTTTTCCATGCTGCAGTCCATCCCTTCAAACCAAATTGAAAGCAAACTAATCACTCTAAAGGCTCCAAAAAGCTTCAGAAATCACCAGACCAAACCATGTCCAGGATGTGAAGAGCCTCAGTCAGTGGCAGTACCATCCCCAGGACCATTGCTGTTTGCTGTATTCTGATTTCTAGAGCCGCAACCCAAAAACTCGGTTAAGCCCGCGCCAGGCCAAAAAAAAAACTGTAACGAGCGTACAAGTTTTTTGTGGGCACTAAAACGCAGTGGCTGGATGCAGCTGCGAGAGAGTCAGTCAGTGCTCTGAACAGAACGGAATAGTTTAGAGCAGCAGTAGGAGCTCAGCAGTTGGAGCTACTTGCACTCCGTACTCCGGCAGGCATACACTTGACTTGGTCATTCGCCTGGTCTGGGTCTGGGCTTGGCATTCCCATACCCGCTTAAAACATGCCACTCTACCTTCACACACACTCTTCACTTGTTCCTGCCTCTCCCTCGTGGATGTGTGTGGGAGTACACGAAACCATAGCATACTTTTGTGCGCGCCTTGCTAATGCATTTGCATTTCGGTGTATACACAGTTTGCCCCTAGCTCTGGCACTCCCACTCATATGCCTGCCTGCTGGCCTGGCTTGCACTTTGACCTTTCATGACCTATTGGTTGTGCGAGCTTGCTTAAAGGCAGACCAAGACCCAGTCAAACTTCAATTACTGCAATTGCCACATTTTGTGTTGCAATTTTCGCATAAATATTGCAATAACATTTATCTGTAGATAACTGTGGCCACAGTGCCTGAGTGGACACATTTTATGGCTGGTTAAGACACACACACACACCGGGGGGGTTTTCCGAATCAATTTATGAGCCTATGAACCCACATCATCAAAGCCAAATGCTTTGCCATAACTAAAACTAATTCAAATGAAACATTCTGCAAGCAAATTGCCCAAAAGCAAAAGCAAATGTGCCCATTAAATAACCCGAAAACGACGAACAAGAGGCAGAGCAGAGCAGAGAAATGCACTCATGCAATTACCCAGAGCTCAGAGCTCAGAGGCAGAAGAGGGTTCTCCCTAATGTTCGCTTTTGACATTTGACTGACAACTTGTCAATGGCAGTCAGCGGGTGTGGAGGAGCAGTGCAGTGGGGTAAAATCATTTCATAGTTGTGACAGCAGAAAATGTTATTTCTCATGAGTCGCAAGAGAGAGAGAGAGAGAGGGAGAGAGAGAATATCGATGACGGCGACAGCCAAAAATTAGCTGTCAAGCTCCAGGATTCTCGTACCATTTAGGAAGGGTTTTGGGATTGGGGGTTAAAGCTACAGTCCACAAACAAATATACAGTCAACCGTCATAAGTTTTGTGCCCTTTTCATGCCACAGCGAAGATTTGTCTCAAGGGAAAATCTCTCTTTATTTCTCTGTCTGGCAGGTGCCACCAACCAACCAAACGAAGCTCGAGGGCGAAAAAGTGATATTCTCATGCGAGGCTAAGGCGATGCCCGGCAATGTGACCGTCCGCTGGTTCCGCGAGGGCTCACCGGTGCGCGAGGTCGCCTCGCTGGAGACCCGTGTGACCATACGCAAGGACGGCTCCCTCATCATCAATCCCATCAAGCCGGACGACTCGGGCCAGTATCTGTGCGAGGTGACCAACGGCATCGGTGATCCGCAGAGTGCCTCCGCCTATCTCAGCGTTGAATGTGAGTGAGAGTCCAGCCTGAGAGATTCAGTTAACCATTTCCAACTCTGTTTATCCCCCTGCAGATCCAGCAAAGGTCACATTTACGCCCACGGTGCAATATCTGCCGTTTCGACTGGCTGGCGTCGTTCAGTGTTACATCAAGTCGAGTCCCCAGCTGCAGTATGTGACCTGGACGAAGGACAAGCGCTTGCTGGAGCCCTACCAGATGAAGGACATTGTGGTGATGGCCAACGGGTCGCTGCTGTTCACGCGCGTCAATGAGGAGCATCAGGGCCAGTACTCCTGCACGCCCTACAATGCCCAGGGCACGCACGGCGCCTCCGGCTTCATGGACGTGCTGGTCCGCAAGCCGCCGGCCTTCACTGTCGAGCCCGAGACGCTCTATCAGCGCAAGGTCGGCGACAGCGTCGAGATGCACTGCGACGCCGTCGAGGCGGAGGGCACCGAGCGGCCCACCATCAAGTGGCAGCGCCAGGAGGGCGAGCAGCTGGCCGACTCCCAACGCAATCGCATCAAAATCTCCGGCGGCAACATGACCATCGAGAATCTGCGACGCGAGGATTTCGGCTACTACCAGTGTGTCGTGTCCAATGAGGTGGCCACGCTGATGGCCGTCACGCAGCTGGTAATCGAGGGCACCCAGCCCCACGCGCCCTACAACATCACCGGCAAGGCCACCGAGTCCTCCATCACGCTGCAGTGGCTGCCCGGCTACAGCGGCGGCTCCGAGTACAAGCAGGACTACACGATTTGGTTTCGCGAGGCGGGTGTCAACGATTGGCAGACCATTTCGGTGACCCCCTCCGGCAGCACCCAGGTGACCATCAATGGCCTGGCCTCCGGCACCACCTACGAGTTCCAGGTGGTGGGCCGCAACGTGCTCGGCGATGGCATGATGAGTAAAGTGATGACAGTGCGCACGTTGGGTGAGTGTTTCCTTGTTCCTTGGATCCGTATCCGTTGCTCCTTTTGCATTTAGTTTCCTGTTTTCTGTTTGCTTTGGCTATTGTTTTGGTTTGCTCCTCTTTTTGGGTTACTTTATTGCTGCAGTCGTTACAGCATCGTAAGCACATTAATCTATCATGAGAAAAACCTTTTGCACAAAGGGGAGACTCGACGCAGTCTGCTCTCTACTTTGGATTGGCTCTAACATAACGCTCTTCTTGTTTGTTCTCTCTCTCTCTCGTTTTCTTCTCTTTTTTCTCACAATCTCCATCGATGTTCAACCAACCAACCAACCAACCAAAACAACAACCAAAAACCGCTACTCGATCTATAACTTTCTCATACTAAATCATGCGCCGCCAAATGCCAACAAACTCTCTCTCTCTCTCTCTCTCTCTCCACATCGACAATCTCTCTCTCTCTCTCTGTCTCACTATTCGCGCGCTCATTGAATTTTGAATTTTTCTTGCTGACGTTTTTGGATGGCGGCCACCATTGAAAAATTCAAATTCAATTCAAATAGAAGACGCTCCGGCAGCGCCACGTAATGTCAAGGCTGCAACACAACCGCCCGACTCATTCTTTCAGCTAATGCCAGACGAAGCTGGTAAGAGAATTCAACCAACCAAAAAAACCAAAAAATCCAACAAAAAAAAAACAAACCCAAAAACCAAAACCAACCAAAACCAAAAACCCAACAAACCAAAATCCTTAGTCAAGTACATAAAAGCGATTCCGATTGCGTATGCGTAATGCGTTGTAGTTGTAAATAAGAAACAAAAACCAACAGGGGGAAACTCAGCCACAAATAACAAGGATTACAGAACGATGAATGAACTTAATGATGAATGATTCGGATGGAGGAGCGAACCACACAAGTGGGCATTAATTTGCGTAGCGTAGCGCAGTGTAGAGTGTAGCGTAGTGTAGTGGCTGTTTGCGTTAACTAAACTGCCGAGTTGAGTGCCGAAATAAGCACAACAAATATTTAAGGCTAGGCCAGATACACAACAGCCCAAAAAAATGGTATTCAATATTAATTTTAGGGGCAGCAATTAAATATTCAAAGCAATTAAGCAACGCACGAAATGGGAGGACAGGGCAAGATGTGCCCCTGACTTTATTGGCTGCCAAAGCACGCCCCAAATTCTCGCCATTTCCCACGGGGCATAATTTCTGGCACATGTGCGGCGGGGTGGTGCGGCATGGAGCGGCTTGTCCGGACTCTGCATATTACATTTCAAGCCTTAATTCTGTATCTATGTGTGTGCGCTACGTTTCGCAGCGTAATTAAAACAGTTTGTCCCACATTTAATTATTTAAATTAATTGAACTGTTTTTACAACTGTGCCTGGTACCCCACCCGCCACACAGCCATGGCGCTGCCTTTCGTTGTCGTGTTTCGTGTCTTGCAGGTCGTGCGGTCGATATGACAACGCCCCGCCGCCCACTCCAGGCCACATGGCCCCATGAGTGAGGGTGGTGGTGTAATTTAAACAACCATATTACCAAATGCCGAGGCACATTTAACAAGGATATACCCCATGCCCCTCGCTCTGCACACCGTTTCTGTTCCGCCCATTGCGGGCGCTGTAGGTGCGGCAATTTGAATGCCTTTGTCGACGTTTGCCGCGTGTTTTTCCAACCGCTTTGCGATAATAGTTAATTTTATACTCCTCCCCCAGCTGCTCCAGCCCTTGGTCTGTAGTTTATACCCTACAGCCCCGCTCCAGCCCCTCTTCTCCTGCTGTATATACACACGCACACACGAAGACACATACAAATGTTTTTCCCCCATTTAGCGTATTTAATTTACTTGCATTAGTATCTGTGTGTGTGTGTGTGTAGCATATGTGTGTGTGTGTGTAACAGTGCGTATACGTGTTTTGGCGCACGCGTATGTTCAAAAAATAAGCAAGAAACAGCAGCAGAAGCAACAAAATAACACACAAAAAATAAAAAAACAAAAAGAAAAACAACAACAAAAACAAGGAAAAAACGTAGAAACCAACGTGTAGTAGGAAAAGCTGTAGAAACTCTGGCGGTGGCAACTCTGGCGGCAACAATGTGCGCTGTGTTGTGTAATGCAACCCTGGATTTCGTGTACGTGTGTACCTTTTTTTTGGCGCTTGTAACGAAACACCTTCAGCAAAACCCAACAACAACAACAACAACAACAACCATCATCCGCCAAAAACGCAAACGCCCGCCCCCTGCCACCACCCCATTCAGACTCAGATTCAGATTCAGTTTCAGCAGCCACCCCCACCCCACCCCACTACTCTACAGGCACCCCACCCCACCCCAATGCAGCGCCTCATACTCATACACACACACCAACACAACACAACTAGCAGCAGCAGCAGCAGCAGCAGCAGCAGCAGAAATTGTATTTCTTTTTTTTGGCTTTTATTTTCGTTTCTTTTTTTTACTTTCTGTGCTTTATTTTCTTGTAATATTTTTTCTCTTATTTAAATCGTGCATAAAACATCAACGGTAAACCATTTGCCACACCCACCCATGCAGGCAGGACGTGCGTGCACGTGTATGTGTGTCCGTGCCGCATTTGTTTGTGTCAAGCAATTTTCATACGCCATGTAGACCCTGACGTTGCTGCCACTGCTGCTCGCAGCGCTTGTTGTTTTATCCTTGCGCCGCAGCGCTTAAAAATTAATAACAACAATGCGAGGCAACAGCAGCAGTGGCTGTGGCTGTGGCAGTGGCAGCAGCAGCGCTACTTGAACAGTTGCAAATTTCCGCCACTGACATTCGACAAAATAAACCAACTGCTCGACTGTGGGATATCCAGCAGCAACAGCAGCTAAGGGGCATGCAGCAAATGCATGTCAAGGCTGGCTACGCTCGACAAACACACACGGCCATGCACGTTGAGCATTTATGAATATTCAATGCATTTCACTGTCATAATTTGCAGCTGCAGCTCGTGCTTATGTGCCTCCTGCTTGACGGTTGGGCTCTGTTCTCAATCTTTGATTTGCATTCCATCAAGGCAAACCAATTGACGGCTGCAGCTTGAGTGATTGCATTCTCTCTCTCTCTCTTGCCATAAGGTGTGTGGCCTGACCTTTGGCATTTTCCCCCCTTGTTTTTTGTAGTTTGTATTTCGGTTCTTGGTTTGCACCTTCTATTATTGCACTTTTTTCCCTCCTCCTCATTTCGGGCTGCACTTTTTCACACATTTTCTCACTTTAATTTTTAAAAAACATTTTTAATCGAATTTTTTGTTGTGGATTTTTGATTTGTGACTTGTTGTTTTGTGTGTTTTCTGTTTCCATTTTTATTTGCAGACCTCTTAGCATATTTTGACATTTTCTTTCACACCGATTCGCGGGGCAAGCTAGTTTATTCGCCACCCAGATTGAGAGTGAAAGGTACTCGTATCAACCAACATCACATATCCACATCTACCCTGCCCAAATACCCCTCAACATTTTTTACAGTGCAATCCCAGCCCAGCCCCAACTCCTGCCTTGGCCAACATGTTGCAAGTCGCTCTTAAGTAATGTCTCTGTCTTGCGACACAGCCTGTAATGCCACAATTCCTGCAGCTGCAAAATTTACTGCCTCTGCGGGTGCCACACCTACCCAGTGCCACGCTGCCACGCTGCCACTGCTGCCACTGCTGCAGTCATAAATAACATTTAACCGTGCGGCGCCTCGCCTCACAGGGTCGTGTCTACCCTTGACATTTTTACAGTGTCTCCCGTCCGTCTGTCTGTCCGCTTGTCTGCTGTGTCTACCCATCTCATTTAGGCCTTTGCTTGGTCCGTGTCCGTGCGCTTTTGCCTGCCATTCCGCTCGCCTACTCCTCTTGCCTTTGCCATTTTTATGTTCTTTTATGTTTGTCACTTGTCTCGTTTATGTTATGTCAAATCTGCGCACATTTTTTATGCGGGCCAAAAGGGTTGCTCCCTCCCCACACCCCACACCCCACACCCCACAGGATACAGCTTCAGCTCCCAGCTATTCGCATAATCAACTTTTGATATATGCAGGAGCGAGAGTCCCTCTCTCCCTCTCTATATGCGCTTTCAAAATCTCCCGAGAGAGCTCTTTAAAAGCATTTTTAATTAACATACATACATACATAATGAGCGTGGCATTTTTCGTTAGCGTTTTCATAATAAATGGCTTGCACTTATTGCCAAACATTCCCGCATCCCCCCCTCCACCCCTTCCCGAACCCACCTCATCTGTTATCTCCCTAATCTCGTTTCTGCTGTTGTTTCGCTGCGCTTTACACTCCACAAAATTCTCTCGCAACTGCACCAGCAGCACAGACAGACACACACAGGCACATCCACATCGCTTTTTTGCTGTTGAAAATTTCATAAGCGCCATCAGGGAGCCAGCAGCAGGATTGCAGGAATGGAAGGGCAGCAGGAGCTGGGGTACATTTACATGACATATCGCATTGTGTCTCCAATTTCTCCAAGCAGTTTTAATTTGCATTTGCATGTGCGACATGCCCCCCCTGGAGACAGAGCAACCAACCAACCAACCAACGAACGACGGACCTACCGGCAGTTAATTGCATCGAGCACGAGTTCTCACAAATCACCAGCCAGCGGCGAGAAGCAACCCCAGAGAGAGTTAACTGAGAATTCAGGTTATCCATGGCCTAGCGCCGTATGGGGCCGTATCTGGCCAAGGCCTAGCCTGTGTCTGTCCGTGTTAGTCCTTCCTGTTCCGTTGTTGCTGTTGCTGCTGTTGCTGTTGCATGGACATGTTGTAGCTATTCGTATATTTTTATCATTTTTCCGTTTTGATGCCAAACGGATGTTTTTGAGGGGGAGACCGACTGACACAAAGTATTCAAATGCGAACAAAAAATGGCAAAGTTCTATGTGTGTATGCTAATTAAAATGAGTTTTTGTCAATCCCTTTTCGTGCAATGTAAAACCCATTCCTCGTTTCTCCTTCCTCGTCATCATGAATAAATGCATGGTGCAAAAAAGAAAGCACAAAGCACAAAGCAATGGCAAAAAGGGTTCGCAAGAGTTGCAAAAAGCCAAATGGAAATTTCATAAAGCTTTTAAGCGAACGGCAAAAAAAAAACCGAAATAAATAAAAAGAAATCTAAAACAAAAGCGCACAAGATCCTGCGGAACGGACCGACACTGGCAGCACCCTTTGGAATTAGTTGCAGCAAAATATATTTAGAATGGTATTAAGGGGCTAGTAGAGATCTATGAGAGACATAAATTAGTGCGGGCTGCAAGCTGCTCAGCCAAGTGAATGTACCCTTTGTTTTGTGAAGAGGAAAATCCCCAAACCCCAACCCAAAGGCAAAGTGCCGAAAAGGTAATAAAAGTGGCGCGGAAAATCCACGAGCGTAAATAAACAAAGCATAAAAATGAAATGCAAATAAATCAAAAAATAATTCAAACGATTTAGCTACCCCCACACCCGGAGACAGGTTGGATGTTGGATTTGAAATTGAAAATAGGTGCAGAAGGGAGTAGGAAAATCCCTGCAACACTTCCACTTCCTGCTACATACTAATGGTTTTCTTTTTTCCCCATTCTTTGTGTTAGGTCCCAAGCCCGGACCGCCCAGGAACGTCTCCGTCACGGAGGTGTCCAATGGATTCCTCATCACGTGGCAGTCGCCGCTGGAGCGGGCGCATATCGTCAAGTTCTACACGATTAAGTACCGCACGGATGCCCAGTGGAAGACATTGAATCGGGGACAAATACGGCCGGAGGAGACGCAGTATTTGGTGAAAAATCTGGTGGGCGGACGCACCTACTACTTCCGTGTGCTGGCCAATTCGGAGAAATCGTACGAGTCCAGCGATGAGGTGAAGTTCCCCGTGCCGGCACGTGTCAAGCATAAAGCTATAACCGCCGGCGTCGTTGGGGGCATCCTGTTTTTTATTGTTGCGATCATTTTATCGGTTTGTGCCGTAAAAATTTGCAATAAACGTAAACGACGAAAACAGGAAAAAGGTAACACTGAGGCCCAAAACCTAAACACACACACTTGAAATGGTTTTTGAAGAACATCACTTTGATAATCAATAATTCTGATAAATGATTAATTAATGCCTACTGCTAATGATACATACTAACTATAATAGTTGATCCCTTACGATAAATACACTCTCTGGCAGCAGTGCCAAACAGAATGGTGATGGAAAATGTGTTTTTTGTGGTCAAAATTAAAGCTTTAAGCTGAGTAAAAATAGCTACAAACATAAGTAATATTTATTGTTGGCCGAAGTATTTGTACAACCAACAACACATTTCAAGACCATCACCATTCCGTTTCTGTGCTGTTTGCTGAAGCGTATTCCGAGTAAAAGTTAAAGTAAATTATTTTGTGAACAAAAAAACATTCGAAAAATTCTCCACAAAATTAATGCCTGTGTCTGAAGATGGAATCTATTTTGCGTACATATATATTTTCGTTGTAGTTTGTTGCAAGTAACAATTCAGTTGCAAACAATTTGGCAAAAACAAAACAAGTCTAACAAAAAAGAATTACTGCAAAATTTGCTGTATATAATATTTACATACTAATTGGATTTTTGGTTTTATGTTTGCTATTTGCTTTTTGCATTTTTGATTTACTTATTTTTTGATTTCTTAGCCTGAGTTCTGTTTGGGTCCCACCTCTGTCCCCCACCCAACAATCCAAGACGACTAACCGGCCCCGCCGCCCGTTCAGTGTGTAGAGACAAAAAGTTGAAAAGATACATATTCCCCCTACCACCCCCTACGAACTTAGTTCGCAATTGGCCACATCACCATCAATCCTCAAGTTAAACTTTTATGTTTTGCATTTCATTACATTATTTTTGGTTTCATTGGCGTATCTTTTGTTCTGGTTTTAATCGTTGGTTTTAATCGTTTGAGTTTCATAACTGACTTCATAGTGCATTTGATTTGTGAAATTCTGAAACGCATGTTAAAACATATAAAACATAGTTGTTGCAACTTTAGTTAAGCATTAACAAGGATACAAGCAGCAAGCAGCAAAGTCCCCCTGGGTCCGGGTCCCTCCCACTGTCCCACTCTTTTGAGCGGAAATTGAATATGCCAGGCAGGGATTTTTCTCATTATTATATTCGATATTTATACGCTGGATAATCGAATCGAAACTGGGTGCCCGTGCTGGAACCAATCCTCAACCGCCGCCCCTCCTCTTCTGACTCTTTCTCTGCCTTGTCATTGGTTTTTGCTTTTAATCTGTATTTTAAGTGGATTAATTAATGTTGCGTTTTTTTAAATCAATTATTTATTTATTCTTTTCGGAGCCACCACACACTTACACACGCAAACAAAAAGCAAGACCGAAAAAAAAACAGGAACCAATTTCGCAGCCCCATTAACTCTGAATTATTACGAATGTTCTGTGTACTCGTATATCCTCCCACTATAGAAAACACATTGTTTTTGATTTATTCTTTTGTTCTGTGGCAAAACCCACACACACACACACCCAACACACACAAACACTACACACAAAGCTGCCACAGTTGAGTGAGAGTGAAGCAGAGGGAGAGAGAGCGAAAGTTAACGTAAAATCTGATAGAAAATATTAACCACAAAAATACCTTTATCCGTGAATTAAATTAACACAGAAAATAAAGCATGTTCTTGGCCAACTCGTCGTTGTTTCTGCCCAGGGCTGAGTTCATGCTGGATAAGGGTATTATTATAGAGAGAATAAATCAAGTAAATCCTATATAAATGTCGCACATTTATATAGCGCACAATAATACTGGGCAGACGTTTTTTGTAAACAATTCACGCACAAAGATGGTAAAAAATACGAAGGCCCACAATCCCACGTAGAGAAACAATGGCCGAAAAAAGACCAACCGAAAGGTTGCTTTAGGCCACACTTCCAAGCATAAAATGATCGCTCCGACAAAAGTCATTGATGATCGGTCTGTCAAGAGTCTGCATTGCCCTTGGGTGTCCCCGCCACATGGCTGCACGGATGATGCTTCCCCAGCATTGTGCAGGCATGTGGCAGGGCACCAACAAAAGTAATGGCTGCAGCAAAGAACCCACCAAAAAACCCCCAAAGACCCTCGCAAAAAAAAGAAAAAGAAAACAATCAACGACACTGCGCGCAAGGGTAAGTTTTTGTCTAATAATATTAAAAAAACAAAATCGATGTCGTGTGCAACCACCGCAAATCCACTGAAGTTAACTGACAAAACAAACAAAACTTAAAAGGTTATTTTCAGACGAGTTCCCCCAGCCAACCTAATAACTAACCTAATCAATCAATCAATCAAACAATCAATCAACTAGTTCACTATTGTATCTATCATAAACACTGAATCATTCATAAGCCATTCCATACAATTTATCAGTTGCCATCTGTTGTGTCCGGCAGCGCCACACTCGCTCGAACAAAAAGTATTCGCAAAAAGCACCCATGAAAGCACTCACTCAAAGCAGCCGTAAGCTCATTTCACACACACCACACCACAGGTTTCATAATTACACCACGAATCACACAAGATCCACTAAAAACAAAATACCAAAAAAAAAAAAAATAAAAAAACTTATTCACACTTCTCGTTTATCGTTTATCGTTTCTCGTTTCTCTCGTTCTTATTTTTTGTTGTGTCTGTATCTTGAATCACTTCTGCCTCTTCAGTTTCCTCCTCTGTCGTTGGTGCGGACAAACTTTTGTCTGGCTCAACTTTTTGTTTCCGCTTCCGTTTTGTGTGTCGTTTTTTGTCGTTCCATAATCAGCGATATTTGGTTTTCGATTTCATTAAACTTATCCTGCACTCCACTCCTCGCTGTTCTCTTTTGTTTTCTCTTTTCTTTTCTTTTCTTTTCTTTTCACTCCACTTCACTTTCCTCTCTCTTAGTCTTTCTGTTTTCCGTTTTGTGGCACAAATTCAATTCGTATCTTGACCATTCTCTCTCAAAAGCCATTTCACGTGTCATTGTTTTTTTTTATCCAACCATTTCGAAGCCATATCCCGAATAAAATACTGCGACACGAGAGGAGAGAGAGGGCACATGGCTGTCTGTATATATATATATATCGACGCGTATATATTTATTTGTATATACATATATCTATATACTTTTTGCAATTTACATATAGGCGTGAGTGTGTGTGTCCGTTCTGTGAGTGTGTGTTCCCTTCAGTATGTGTGTGCGTTTTGCAGGATATGCCGCAGGTTCGACTTCGAAACATCAATGGCCTTTCCGCTCTTTGAAATATCCCCCCAGCCAGCCAGGGGGTTGCCGCGGGCAGCATTAGGTTTCGATTTAGTTTTAGGCATTAGCTATGTGCCAGGGTGTCCAGTTCCAATTACCGTTTAGCCTCGCTGCTCCACTAATTGGCAACTTCTTGTGTAATTGCCACAACAACAACGTTTAGCATAATCAAACCGAAACAACTAACTAACTAACTCCTTAGCTTAGTCATAGCAATAGTCACTAGCAACTAAATGGTAACTGGCTCTAACTATTAAATGCTGCTTCAAGCTCCTAACTGGTGGTAAATGCTTGCCCTTTCCCCTAGCTAATAATCTAGTTAAAAATCTCAACTTATTAGCAGACAGACAGACATCGGAGAAGGGCAGCTGTGCATGCAAATGAGTCTCCCATTGAATCTGTCATGTGTATACCTCGTCTATATGTAGAGTGCACTGTAGTCCAGATATATACATATATATGTATATAAATAAATGTATCTGCTGTTGTATATGTGTATAAATGTGCATTGTGCGTGGGTGTTGTGTATTTTATTGATGAGGATAGGACGGCTCACGCTGCACGCCAAAATTAATTGTAGAAATTATACGTTTACAGAGTTCAACATGGTAGCTTGCAGGATAACGGACGCTCGTAATATTGCAGCCAATGCAGCCAATAATCATCATCATCAACAACATCATTTGCATCACAATCGCAGTACGGGCTCAATTTCCTCTGGTCAAGTGCCTTTAAAAAAGTGAGTATAAAGAGTCCAGCCACACAGCACACCCGAGGAGCAGGAAACTTCTCCATCTGAAATCTCAAAACTAAATTATGCCCGACGTTGTTGTATCTGTATATCTCTCTCTCTGATTGGAATGCACCATTCCCAAACAAAACAAACGCTCCACCAAATAGCAATACTGAACATTACCGTGATTATGAAAGCGTTTTTATAGTTCCAGGTCCATCCTGTCATAATCAAAATCGTAAGCAAAAATATTTGTACTCAAAGTTTCACTCTTTGGTTTCATTTTTCGTTCCGTTTCCCACTTTTGTTCAGCGTTTAATTCACTTGAGTTTTGTATCTGTTTTCCACATTTTTTCCTTGCATTTAACACTTTTTTTATCTCCACCTCTGCCAGGTACAAACAAACCCGAATATCAAGTCTAACCGCCATACTGATTGCCATTCTTCACTGGATCTGGCCACCCGATCGCTGCACCAACTGCCACTCCATCTACAGCTCCCCCACAACCCTCGAGGACTGCGACACTGCCACCGGGCGGCGCTCTGTGAGTCGCATTCAACGCAGCCTCGATGGTCGCTTTGTCTTGGACGTGGATGGCTCCAAGATCGAGGGCTACACGCTGGACAACAACAACATCGATGTGGTGGATGGAGCGCTCTTTGAGCGACGCAACAGCAACGTCTCCCAGAAATCATCCAGCGACGATGGCGGCTTCCTCTCGCGGCGCAACTTCATCACAGCGCGTGCCTCGTGGCGGCGTCCCCTGGTGGCATCCTCCAGCCAGCTGAGTCTACAATCGGCAGCGGACTCGGCACGCGGCTTCCTCCAGGGCCTCGGGGGTCTGCTCAAGATCGGCGGCAAGCCACAGCACCATCAGCCGGCGCACTTTGAGGAGGCCATCAGTGGGGCTCGCTACCAGAACATCCGCAGCCTGTATGGGAACGCGGACAGGAGTCGCCCGCTGCACATCAACACCATCAGCGGAGCGTTGGGCCAGCAGCAGCATCACCATCACCATCACCATCTCCTCTCGCCGCAGCAGTACACTCCGTCGCGGATTTCGCGCATCTTCTCCAGCTCGCCGGCCATGAGCCATCTGCAGCATCAGCAGCAGCTGCTCCTGAGCGGCGGCAGTGGCAGCGTCGGCTATCCCACACACTTCAGCGATCTCAGCACCGTTTATCCACCCAACTCGGCGGAGCGATCCCACAACAGCGGAGGCGCAGGCAGTCGCTATCGCTACTACTCCCAGGAGCTGCCTTCGCTGAGAACCATCCAGGAGGAGACGCGACGCCAGCAGCAGCAACAGCAGCAGCAGCAGCAGCAGCAACCACAACATCCGCTGGAGGAGCACTTTGTGCCGCTGCAGCTGCCATCGCCGCCATCGTGGAGGAGCTACTACCACGGGCAGCTGCCGTATCATAGCTACAGGCCGCGCACTCGCTGGTATCCGCGCCACTACTCCCGCCTCTTCAGTCGCCAGCAGCACGAGCTGCTCTCCCCGCTGCCCGATCTGAATCTCTCGCTGCGCAATGGGGTGGGGGTCAATGCAGGGCTGGAGGCCTCACCCGAGTCGCGGAGCAGCTCGAGTGGCTTCGGGTCGAAGAACACCTCCAATCATCCTGGCAGCACCAGCGAATGGCGACTGCTGCCGCCGTACCGTGCACCGCCCTCGCCGCCCAAGCACTCGGGCTACTTTGGGACAGGAGGGGGACTGGGTGGCAGCCAGCAGGCCCAGGGCCAGACGCCGCATTCCGCCTACTCCGCTTATCCGCGGGCCAACACGCCGCCCTACACCATGGCCCACTGGCTGGAAATGATCTCAAGACTGAACGCGGCCACGGACAGCAATTTGCCAGCGCCCAAGCCACCGTGCCCCGTGGACGTGGGCAGCGTCGATGGCCACTACGAATTCGACCCGGCCACGCCCACACCGAGCGCCTCAACGCCCACGGGCATGGGTGGTATGCTGCGCGACGATCTCAATCATCTGCACATTGATACATCGCTCCATCATCATCATTTGCATCATCATCACACACTGGGACCGCTGAGCGGCAGTCTGCTGCATGCCCATGCCCCCACGGGCTACAGCGGGGGAACGGGCAGTTCCCGGAAGCTGCGCACCTTGCCACTGCCACACCAGCTGCCGGCACGCTATGACAATGTGGAGGTGCGGCTGCAGGCGATGCGAGAGGAGTTCTATGCGTACCGCAAGCGGCAGGCGATGCAACAGGCGGGAGTGCCCGAAATGGAGAGCGTGTGCTGAGTGCCAGCTTCAGTCAAGCATTTAATTAAGTTCCACATGGCATCCACACACACACACACAGACACACATCCGCAACACACCCATGAAATGCGCCTCAATGCAAAAGGCAAAAGCACCGCAAAATTGCGATGCCATCGGATGAGACGGATGAGACGGATGAGCGATGGTTGAGGCAGCCGCAAGCAGCATGCATGCCATTGCAATCAACATTCAACCGCATACGTAGTAGATGAGATGATGATACATGATACATGGATACATGGAAAGATAAATGAACATCGGATCAGGCCACACATCTGCCATTTCCCCCCAAAACCCAACCCCACACACGTTAGAGATTCCTACCCTCAGATATGAAACTTAAAAAGTTACCACAGCAATGAAACAATTAATAGATTTTACGGAAAGGAAAGGGAAGAGAGCGATAGAGCGAGAGAAGCCAAGCGAATTCCACGCGAGATTTGTAAATACTTTGAAGGGAGCAGCAGATAGACAGATGGAGAGCGGGGAATGCAGCAGCTGAGGAGCCGAAAATTTAAGTATAATATTAAAAAAAAACTATAGCAATTATACAACAACAACAAAAAACATATTATTACAACTCGATAAATAATAATGAATTGATATTAAACACACAAAAAAAAGTAAACAACAAATTACAATTAAATATTATTATTATAATTATAATTATTATTTACGAGTGTATTTAGATATTTGAATATTTAACAACACACTAAAACACACACACACACGTACAGATTGATATGTTAAACATTAATAAATTAAAAGACATTTAACACAAAAAATCCCAACAATCCCCCACAGCGCGTAAGGCCTAAATTATGTTAAAACAAAAAATAAAAAATAAAAGCAAGAACACTAAAAGTACGAGTAAAATCAATACGGAAATACGGAATATGCTAGCTGTTAAGCATTTAGTTGTTAAATTTATCGATTATCGATAGCCGGCAGACGATGACACGATGTTAAAAATAAAAGAAAACAAAAACAAAACAAACGATAAAAAACGTATTTAAAAAGAACAAACCACATATAGAGAAATTGTTTCATAATTAAATTATTTAACGACAAACAGAGAAAAAACCAAAACAAAAATGAAACGAAAAAAAAAACAGTTTAACGAACAAATTAAATGAAATATAACTGCTGCATATATGTTTACTGTTACACACACACACACAGACAACACACACACACGATAATTAACTCGAACAAGAATATTTATTAAACGCAAACACACAAAACAAAAACTAAATACCAAAAAAAAAAAATAATAATAAAAATAAAAAATAAATAAAAACGAAACGATTCTTTCCGGTACGATATAGTATATCCCACACACACACACACACCACACACACACACACAACCCAAGACTTGGTCAATTGCGACGCCACTCGACAGTTGAATAAGTTGGTAAGGTAACAAGATACAGATACAGATACAATATCTATAGATACAAGAGAGAGAGAGAGAGAGAGAGAGCAAAGAGAGGGCCACAGTTGTGCATAGATCCCGCAGATACAGCTGAGTTTCTGTTTGTTTTTTTTAGGTACTTGTTAAATGATTAACGATTAACGATTAACGATAAATCGATCAAATTGTACGGAATGATGGTTTGACACAACTTGACGCCAAAACACTGCCAGAGCGAGAGAAGCGTAAAGAAGATGTGACACGTGTGTGTATAACGTATGTAAATTACAGAGACAAAAAATATACAAAATAATAATATTAATAATTATTATAATAATAATACTAATCATAAAGGTAATACGAATAACGATTTGAGGGGGGGAAAGGGTTCGATAGCGAGAGGAAGAGAGCAAAGCAAATCAAGAAATCAACTACGAAAGAACTACTCGAATGATCTCAAGAATTTCTATATAAATATATGTATTTGTGTGTGTTTGCCCCACTTTTGTTGCTCCAGAAATAACACAGAAAAAATCAAAGTGAGAGCGACGCATGGTATGGATTGGCATAGGCAGAAAATTGCATTATCGATGATTACTTTTCTTGTAAATGTTGAGGGTATTTCAAGTAATTAAGTTGATTTTTTGTATTGCACATAGACAGACAAACACACACAGCTACACACACACACACACACACACACACACACACATTAAAACGTTTAACTAGAAATGAAATTAAATAAATTAATTAATTGATGCATTAACGAAACGAAAGCACAAGCCGAAATGGAAGGGAAAAGCCAAGAATCGAGAGAGAGAGAGAGAGAGAGAGAGTAATTACAGAGAATAAATTGAATTTTAATTGAGATGCAGAGAAGCAAAATAGACGAGGGACTTCAAGGCATATACGATATATGATTATGTATCTGCGGTACATGCATATATTTATGGATATAGCAGTTACTGGATTACTGGCATTCAACTGGCATGTATGTACATTAAGAGTAAAAAACAAAACGAAAACAAAAACAAAAACAAAAACTAAGCTAAGTAAAAATCTAACGCTTTAGTCGTCTGTTGCCTTTGATTTTTGGACAAGGTGCGACAGACTCCGTCAGTCTTTAACTTTCTCACTTCTCGAAATCACTTTCGAAGAAAGAACAACAAACACAATAGGAACAACAACAAATAGGAACTATTCAAATGAAAGAAACAAAAACGAAACAAAAACGAGATACTTTTGCACCTCCTTCAACTTCAACTTCAACTTCTACTTCCACTTCAACTTCAACAAACATTTCCCTTCCTCTCCCCATCTTTCGCTTCACTTTTTCACACTTTTCCCCCCATTTCCGCGCATTGCATTTCCCCTCCACACACTGATTGCAAGTTTCCAATTCAGCATATATATAAATCGTACAAGGATAAATCAGTTTAGAACGAAAATATATTGTAATTAACACGACACACACTAACACACACACACACACACTGGACACACACACACACTCAAACACTGACAATTATAATGAGAAATTAGCAAAATGAACAAAATTTTTAAACAAATAAAACTTACAAAAACGAAAGCAAAAACAAACAAACAAACAAACAAAAACCAAAAACCAAACAAAAAACGAATAAAAATAAAAAACTTGAAATTGATCAAATAAAACGAATTAAATGGCATTTTTTATTGGTTACTAGTTTTATGCGTCGCAGATGGTAATCGGAATCCGGAAGCCACTACGGGTACTAAGGGTATTAATTACAGAATACTCATAGATATTCCTATTTTCTCACATTTACAAAAAAATATCACTCATACGCCTGCGCGGCCACCGCAAAGGCGATGATGACTGCCCGCGCTCGAGGCCAATTAAACTAATGAAATTTACCAGCTATAAAAATAGCTTAATTTTCAGCTGCAAACAGGCACCAATGGAAGAGCAGATACCCTGTGAAAAGGTGAGGGAAAAAGGCTTCACCCTGAGGGAAATTAAAAGAGAATCTGAACAGCATCCAATGCAGAATCGATTATCTCAGAGCGGACCAGGGTATCGCCTTTCTTGGAGTCGCCGCCATAAATGTTTTCTACAACACTTTGGCGATCGCCTAATTATTTAAGTGGATAAACGTCTGCGAAAGCGAATTGTGGGGGGGAGACTACTGAACGGCCCAAAGACGAGACGCAGAGACCCAATGGATGGATGTTTGGTTGAACTGCGGCGTGGGCGTGTGTCAAATGTCAAATGTTTGGTAAAAGGGGAAAGAGCGGTGAGAGGCTTGCTGTGGCATGCCAGAGAGGAGAGAGCATAGAAAACAGCATCAGAGACAGCAGAGATCCGAGCCGCAGTTCTCGTGCCCGTTCTGCGCGTTCTGCAGTCTGATCGCATTTCATTTTTCAGTAGCGCTTCTCCAGTCGTTCTGTGCAGTACGCGACCCTCAAAAACAGTCCGCAAATAGTCAGCAGTCAGCTACGGGTTAGAGGGAACAACAAACTGCGCACAATACAATAGATATTTCCTGGTGCGGATCCGAGAAATACGAGCAGTAAATGCCATAGAAATTCGTGCAAAGAAAAGAAGAGCAAAGAGCAAACATTTTGACCTGATTTTCGGGACTTTGCATAGATTTTAATTTGATTTTGAGTCTTTGTTTTTGCGCTGCACAACGCGGAATTATTATGCAATGAATACGACGAGTGAATGAGTGTGAGTGTGCGAGTGTGCGAGTGTTTTGAGTGTGTTTAAGTGAGTGCTCAGCCCAGACACGAGACAGACAGATGGAGAAAATGCCAAGAAGAACTTTGGAAACGGTGCGTTCCGTTACGCTGCTCATTGCACTGCTGACGCTCTTAATGCGTGCATCCTGTACGGTTGGCGCTCGCGATCATCGACGCCAGACGAATCTGGAGGCAAAAGTGGGCTCACACGTGGTCTTCAGCTGCTACATCGACTTCCCCTTCGACTCGCCCATTCCGTACGTTGTGCACTGGAGCAAGGATGTAAGTCAGTCACCCCTGGCACTGCCTTTTAGTCATTCGCTCACTCACTCACTCACTCACTCACTTATTCATGGCTCACGCCAACGCGCACGCAATTCTTAAATGAAATTGTCCAAATTATTAATTTATCAGACACGTAGGTGGCCCCGGACACTGGCCAGAGAGCGGACTGACATTCCAACAGAATGACCGACGGACTGACCCGCGTGGGTTGTGGGGTTGGGGGGTTGGGTGCCAGTGGGCATATGTGTGCTTGGTTAGCCTTAATTGCGATGCTGCTGCACAGCGTGAAACGAGACTCTCACATTCATTAAAAGGGCTACGCGACCCCGGACTTTATGGCCATAGCACTGGGCGCAACGCGGAAGCATTCAGCCAGCCAGTCAAACAGAAAGAGAAGAAAATATACATTCTGGGGTGGCTGTGGGGTTGCAGGTGCAGCAGCCAGCAGCCAGCAGCAGCAGCCAGCTGCGATTGCACAGAAGGCATGGAGGGAGCTGTGGGTCCTGGCTACTAATTAAAGCGCAACCACATGCAGTCGATCGAGGCTGCATCCTGGCATCCCTGGCATCCCTGGCATCCGCGCATCCTGTCCTATGTCCTTCCTTCCGGGCCATGCCATGCGGCATTTAAATTTCATTTGAACGCGACTGAAAAACTGATTTCAGTATCACAAACACTTTAAATTACCAACATCAGGGCGAGAAAAACAAAGACAGCAAAGGCAAAAGCAAAAAAAACCCCGAACAGGGAGAGTGTCAGCGTGAAGTGTGACATCAAAGACACACACGCGGGCCACAGTGGCAGGGGGCACACGCTCGTGGGTGTGGCACAAAGATCCAGAGTTGAAATCAATTTCAATTGGATTCAATCGAATTGAATGGCTGGCATTTTGTTGACAACTGTGAGTAATGCAATTTAATTCAATTGCAAATTCATTGCAGCAACAAAAAAGAAAAACGCAATCCTCGCAGACAGTCCGTCAGTCATTCAATCATTGCTTCATTCAGTGCGTCAATCTGTCAGTGAAATATGCTTGCATTTGTATTTAAATCAAAGTGAATTACTATTCATCGCACACACACGCTCATCATTGGCTCAGCAATTCCCCAAATCCCCACCCTTAATGGAGAGGCAGCGACGCTGTGCCCCGCTTATGTTTTTAACTTGCTTAATTTGCCTTTATCGCTCTCTCTCTCTCTCGCTCACTCACTCTCTCTCGCTCTCTCTCTCTCTGTTTTTCTGTGACACTCATCCGCATTGTATTAGTGCAGATTCCACTCGGTCAGCGGGTCATGATGTCATTTTGATAGATTTTAATTTAATTTAATTGCGCTTTCAATTTTCTGTGTGCGGATCTGTATCTGCCGTAAACTGTATCTCTGTCCCAGCGGAAGGGCAGTTGTTTTAGTAATTAAACAAAATCGTAGACAAGGTTAAAGTACAAACAGCAACAAGAACAAAAATATGCATAATCCATGAGAGAAGCTCCCGTCCCGTGCCGCTCGAGTTCCACTTTCACGGCCGTCGCGAGGCCAATTTTTGCACAATTTTCGCGCACAACAAAAAATTACCGGATAAATCAAGTTACGTTTTGTAATTTGGTTGGATAATGCTGATAAATGTGTTCGGCGGCGGCAGACAGTAGACAGTAGTAAGCACTTGACACACAGTTGGGTGTACATAATCGGATGGCTCTATGGAATGGGAACGAGCACTGGCCACTGGGCTCTCTCTCTCTTGAGTGCATCGCATAATGCAGCGCAAGGCATCAGCATCAGCATCATCATCATTGCATTCTCACAGTCTGAATGGTGGCTTGGTGTGTGACATTGATGCCCACTTCGGTCACAGCAGCGTACAGCGGGCTGTGCATCTTGATGTCTATTTCCCGATCTCAATTAAAGCACAAAGCGAATGTCAATAGATCAACTAACACCCAGGCCAGAGGCAGTGTCGAGTGACACAATTAAACGTATCCCATTGCAATTTTGTGTTGGAGGAGCAGCTGCTGCTGCTGCTTGGCACTGCCACTTTTGCGGTCAGCGGCTATCAATAACCAAGCGACGAACTAAATCCCTAGCATGCGGTTTTTTCCACCCACTAAGAACCCAAACCCAAACCCAAACCCAAACCGAACCAATCCACAGATTGAATGGATAAAAAAGTCAAGTGCACAAACAAAAACAAAACGAGCATAAAAATGCCTGCGTTTGTTTAATGCCAAAGCAATTAGAGAGTGGATGCAAAACCGCAGCAGCGATGAGGCGCTGCCTCTGCCTCTGCCTCTGTCGCGTTTCAATTGCATTTAAATAATTTAAGTTGAACGCGTGTTGCCGCAGCTTTTTGCACATGATGCAGCACAAACAACAAACAGCAAAAGCAAACAAATAACAGACGACGCTGTGTTTACTCTCCGGGCGATTATTAATACGGTTTTCATTCTCCCTTTTTTTTGTTGGTTGGTAGGCAAAAACTATGCTGCGCAGATATAATTTGCCAGGTCATATATTTAACACAAATATTGACGTAACAAATACATTCAACTTTAATTAAAACAAAATGCAATTTAATGTCGAGCAGCTGAATTATGGCAACAATCTATTGCTTGCCACATATTCTTGGGCAACACCCTTCGGCTCTGGCTGCGTGGCATTGGTGGCACTTCAAGTGCGCCGCGTGGCACCACGTGAGTCCATTTAAATTTGTCAACAAAGTAGCGGCAGGCCTGGCTGCTCCCCCTCCCTCTTTGGTTATTGTTACTTTTGGTGGGGCATGAGGCCCCACCGCTGTGCCGCGTCACCACACAGCTGCAGTGGCAATGGAGGCGAAGACTCAGCGGGAGTTTGCGAAAATTATAATGCTGCATAGAGAGAGAAACAGAGACCGGGCTGGGCCTGTGGCAGGGTGGGGCGTGTGTGTGTGTTTATCTGACAAATGGATTTACGGCATTTTGCATTCTGCATTCTCAGACAAGGACAAACGGAGCAGGCGCCTTTCCCAATCATAATCATAAGCGGGGTTGAATGAATGTTTTCCAATACACTTAAAGCCAGCCCTTAAGCTGCTCCCCTTTCCGCAGAACAAAAAGATCTTCACGTGGTTCGAGAAGGAAACCTCCACCAACGAGCTCTTCAATGGCCGCCTGCATCTCGTCGAACAGCATCCAGAGTACGGTCGTGCCTCCGTCAATCTAACAGCCATAAGGGAGTCAGACCAAGGCTGGTACCACTGCCAGGTGATCTTTCCCAATCGCTCGCCCAGCATACGCAACAATGGCACGCGCTACCACCTGGCGGTGCAGGGCGGCTCCCTCATACGCATTCCGCCCGTGAATCAAACCATACAGGAGGGACAGACCGCGTTCTTTCACTGCGTCATGAAGTATCCGGATAACTCGCAGGCGGCCTGGTACAAGGACGGGGTGCTGCTGCAGGAGGTGCAGGATTTGGTGCGGCGTTCGTTCATGGGCCCCGACGGCAGCCTCAGCATCGATCCGACCATGATGAGCGACCTGGGGGAGTACGAGTGCAAGGTGCGCAACAATGAGGGTGAACTGCAGACGGCCAAGGCCTTTCTCAATATACAATGTGAGTAGGAGGAGACAGCTTTAACATTTCGAGCCACTGCCTAAATCTATCTTTCAATCGTTTGTTTGACTATCTTTTCCCCCTATAACAGATAAGGCCAAGGTGATTTATGCACCGCCCGAGGTGTATCTGCCGTATGGCCAACCTGCCGTACTCGACTGCCACTTCAGGGCCAATCCACCGCTGAAGAATCTGCGCTGGGAGAAGGATGGCCTGCTGTTCGACTCGTACAATGTGCCCGGCGTATTCTACAAGATGAATGGCAGCCTGTTCTTTGCCAAGGTGGATGAGAATCATGCGGGCAGCTACACGTGCACACCCTACAATGACCTCGGCACGGACGGGCCCTCGCCCATCATTAGTGTAATTGTGCTGCGACCGCCCATTTTCAGCGTCACACCCAAGGCCATTTACATACAGAAGCTGGGCGAGTCGGCCGACCTGCCCTGCGAAGCCATCGACCGGGACGGAAACAATCGTCCATCCATTGTCTGGAGTCGGGTGAGTGTGGAGTGGGGACTTCTGTTGCTATTTTCAATGGACAGTGGACACTGCAGAGTCTTGCTTGATTGCATTTTTAATTATGCATGCTCCATGGCTCCTATCTCTTTTTCTCTCTCTCTCTCATTTTGCATGACAGAAAGATGGGCAACCGCTTCCACCCGAAAGGCACAGCCTCAGTGGCGGTAACCTGACCATCACGAGCCTAATCGAATCGGATCGCGGCATGTACGAGTGCGCGGCGACCAATGAAGCGGCAACCATAACAACAGAGGCCGAATTAATGATTGAGAACATTGCACCACGGCCGCCATACAATCTGACGGCCAACAGCACCGAGACCTGCATCACCATACGCTGGCAGCCAGGTGAGAGTTCGAGATTACACATAGATGAATGTGGAAGGTGGGCTCTAATGGCTGCAGTTGCAGGCTACCTGCGGCCCAATCTCGAGTACACCGTGTGGTATCGCCTGACAGAGGCGCCCGAGTGGCGCACAATGCGCGTGCTGGACAAGAATGTGATGGAGGCGACCATACAGCATCTGGTGCCTGGGAAGGAGTACGAGTTTATGGTCCTCAGTCAGGACAAATATGGCGACGGGATGTTCAGCAAGCAGTTCCGTTTTCAGACACAACGTGAGCTCATCCAGCATGGAGTTTGTGTTCCCCAGAGTCTAAATTCTCTCCCCTTGCAGCTTCACCCATTCGCGCGGAGGATTTCGATGCCCAACTGGGACAGAATGAGCTGGGACAGCTGCCCACATTTAGCGGTGGTTTGGGTGCCCCTTCAAATCTCAGCGCGTTGAGCAATCAGCAGGGCTGGCTGCTGCACTGGGAGCATCCGACGCAGGGACTCGAGGGCCTGCGGCTATACACGGTGCGCTGGTGGAAGGAGCCGGAGCACTATCTCATCGGCCAGGCGGAGACCTTCGACAACTTCTATCAGCTGCGGCACCTCAAGGAGGACACCACCTTCAAGGTGCAGGTGGTGGCGGTGGGCGCCAACAGTCAGCAGCAGGTGCCCAGCCCCGAGCTGCTCATCGATGTGCCGTCGCAGCGCAAGATGCGGGCACTGATCATTGGCTCGTCTGTGGGAGTACTCTTTTTATTGTGCGCTCTGTGCGCTTTTTTATACGTGAAAAGGAGCTGCCTGCGGCACCTGTTTGCCCGGGACAGCGAGGCAGCCTGCGATGAGGACACTGCCGAGAGCGGGGACTGCGACAGCGATGAGCAGGACAGCGTCAAGATACGACAATCCTCCTGAATGCTACAGATCCGCTGGCACTTTGATGCGATAGCCAGCGAGGGTTCCCCATCCCCACCATCCCAGGCACCCCAGTGATGCCACTTGAATTGCCAGTTGCCAGTTGCCAGTGTTGCCCAACCCCAACATAATCCATTACACCATAAAATACTGACTTTTTAATTTATGTCTAGCTGCTATCTGTACTATAAATTCTACTAATTCGAAATAAAAATTAAATAAATCAACAAGAAAAAAAAATCAATTTCAAATTACGCGCCTTTGATGGGTAGCACTTGCCAAGCGCAAGCTAGCTAGCTATCCCGCTCTGGCGCGCACAAGCGAGACAACAGCTCCATGCATGCGCTAGCTTGAAAGCTCGTTTCGGTTGGAAGAAAGCTTTTACCGTTTAAATGTTGGCGGGAGCTTTCTCTCTCTATTGTTGCGTGGCTGAGTGAGAGCTTCCGCCGTTACGCTGCGCTTCGCTGCATTCAAAAATTCAACAACAAAACCGCATGGCGTGTGCTAAGGACAGCTGTCCTCACACTCAACTCCCCCCACCTCCATGAGACACACGCAATCCGCAGCTGAAGTACGTCACATCGTTAAATGGGCAATTAGCAGGCACGTAGCCATCGCATCCGATATGGCTCACGTTGAGTGCACCCAGAACGACTGTCGTTCCAGCAATTCATTCATTCGCATTTGCCCGATTAGGCGCACACCTGAAATGCACCCAAAACGTTGCACTTGGAGCCCCCCCATTAAGATGTCATTGCGGAGGTTCAATTGATGTAACCCACCGCCAACTGATTTGCACTCGCAACGCTTTGATGCATTGCCCCCAAGATATTGACCCAATTTACAGCTGGGAGGAGCTTCGTGTGTCACGGAACTATACAATTGGCACCTGAAATAAAGCGAAAGCGAGTCAACAAACTCGCGATGACTGACACATATCGGCAGCGGCCTAATGAGGCGTCTGAAATGATATCAAAGGGTGTGCTGCCCCAGCCTATCGTCCATTGAGTGTCGAATCATTTGGAAACCAATTTGCGCAGAGTTTAAAAAACAATAAAAACAATAATAAGGAAGGCAAAAACAATAACCATTAAAAACAGTAAAAACAATAAGCAAGTACACTGGCACTGCACGCTGACACTGATTTGAGTGTATGCTATTTAGTTGCTTATATTATATTAAGGTCATTGCGATTAGACGATTAGTCCCCTGCGCAGCGCATTTCCACGGGGGGAGCAGTGAAAGGAAAACACAGCACAAGCTCACGTTCTGTTCCGTTCTCGACTTGAGCTTTGTTCTCTCGCAGCAAGTCCAAGCGAAGCGAACGGATTTGATTGCAAAAGTTGAATTTCGAAAGAAACCCATTTTTAGGGGGGTGCAGGGGGAGGCGGTTATTGCTCACTCGCAGATATTACTGTCTGCAGCTCCTCCCTCCTCCTGCGGCTGCTCGGAAATCAAAATTGTGTTTGTGCTTTGTTCTGTTGTGATCGTGTCGGTTCAAAGGTCACAATTGTTCCAGAAGGGAATGGAAATGAGCAGAAATGCGATTACTCCTCCGCCAAAGCAGCCGCAGCCAAACCCTGGGGTCCCCACTTTCTCTATCTTAATTTGATAATTCCAAGGAAATCTGCAGGGGGGAAGTGGAAGTGGGAGTCTGGCGACTCCCCCAAGTGCATCTGAACTCACACGCTGCTGCTGCCGCTGCTGCATTCGCCATGGGGCTGGCTGGCAATACAAAGCATTCTGTTTACAGTCAGCTGTTTGTCACACCAACGCACATGCCTTGCCCCACATGCGCAGCCATCACACACACACACACAAACACACTCTCGGAGAGCTCAGAGCTGTGAGCAAGTAAATTGTATGGGCAACATTGCAATTGAACAACGGCAGACAAAGACGAAGAGCGAGAGAGAGCGAGCGTGTGACGACGACTTCCCCATTGACGAAACCCAAGTAGTATCGTATCCGCTCTCTCCACGCACATACACACATAGAGAGCAAGAGAGAGAGAGAGAGCGAGCGCAGCCACACTGTACCATGGGGAGCTTGATTACTTTTAGTGACCAAAACCAATTTTTGAAAATAACCTCAAATAATAAATTTTTAATTAAATTAAATATTTTTGATGTGGTCCACAATGTTACAGAGTTGACCACTGTTAAGTTAGCAGCTTTTTAACAGAGCTGCTCGCTTGCGAGACACAAGCGCTCTCAAAGAAAATTATTTCTTGTCTTTGGAGGAGTCTGATAAAGGCAGTGGAACTCAAGAATTTTCAGTGCGTAATATTAATTATATATATCAATTTATTTTTCTTAATTTTCGCCACAAAAAGTGCTCAAAACTCCCCATAGTGCACTGCTTCTCAGCTGCTGCTGCTGCTGCTGCTTCTAGTGCTGCTGCCTGCTGCTGCTGTCTGCTGCTGCTGTTGGGGTTCGTTTACGTCTCCGTTGCCAAACAGCAGCTCCCGCATTTCACAGTTCTTCGTTGTTCGCGTTGGTTGGTTTTGGCCTCACCTCACCGAAATATTACGGGGCGGATCGGACGGATAGACGGACTATCCACTCTCGCGATTTGCTGTGGAAAATAAAACACGTTTCATACCACCTTGGAGCCCGAGTCGCAGCTGTAATACAGAACTCCCTTACTTGCCACTACAACAAAAACAGAAAGACAACAAACATAAACGAATCCAAGAGATTGTTTGTGGTGCTGGCTCCTCGAGGCACATTTGAATAAAGTGCAGACGATGTTTGCTCTCTCGTAATAATCAAATACTTATAAATCGCGCGATCGAGTGGCCAAAAACAAAAAAAGAGGCGAAGCGGCAGAGCAAATAAATATCTCTGGCAGTGGCCAACAACAAAAAAAAAAGCAAAAACAACAACCGAAATATATAATGCTAATGAAACCGAAAACACGTTTTGTGCTGTGCCTGTGCCTGGTCTGATGTTCTCGGAAGAGGAAAACGAAACATTTGCCATCATCCCAAAAGGTGAGGCCCATAGCCAGAGATCCACGAAGTTACATTAAAAATCGAATTGAAATTTTGAAGTGCGAGTGCGAGTGCTTGTGAGGAAATTGCGTCGTTATTTAATAGAATAGAATATATTCCAAAGCGAATGCGAATGTTACTCATTCCTAGCTTAGGTCTAAGCGCTTCCGCTCTTCCACAATCGTAACGAAGTGAACCCTCAAAACTCTGAAGGTTCTTTCTTGTAGTTGCAGTTCCCCAGGCAGCCACCACCAGAAACTCCAGAGGCGGTAAATTATAGCACGCCGTTAGCTGTCCCCACCTCCGCTGCACTCTCTCCGTACTCTCTGGTCCACGGGGAAAAGTCATATGTATCTTTTAATGTTTTCCTGCCGCTGCTAACGCTGCCTCTATCTTTATCTGACGAGAGCGCGTGCGCTCTCTCTTGCCCTCCCGGCACACCCCTCGCAATCATCGCAATCTGCTGCTCTGCTCTCTTGCTCTGCCTCAAGCGTTGAATGTTTTTAAATGTTTCCATGGCCCGCCATTAGTTAATACACGAATAAAACGAGGTAGTGAGTGAGCGGGTCCCGGGTCGCATGTCTCCGTGTCTCTGTCGAAGTGGAGCATCCGGAAGATAGGTCAAAGCAGCAGCAGCAGCTAGCTGGCAGTAGATTCTTCGACAGACATGACCTACATCGATTGGCATTAGGGTAGGACCTCTACACGCAGGTCATCCACCCACCCCGCCAACCCACGACGCACACTCCCCACGCTCCCACACTCCCCCACTTCAGCTGCTTAAAAAGTTTTCTGCGAATTCTTGGGCCACGCAAAATTCCTCGAAAATCTTCAGTTCAGCAGTCCATCAGTTTCCCGGCCTTTCGCTGATTCCGTCTGATTGCCCGATTAGACAATTTTTGCAGCTGTGCGGCGTGGCTGTCGCCGTCGTTTGCCGATAAGCCAACCTTCATCCGTCGACAGATGGTAACAAACCACGCGGAAACCCCGCACTGCCCCCAGACTCGAAACTCGCATGTCTCGTCGCATATAAAGCAATAATTGGCAGATTAGCTGTGGCCCTTACAACGCCGATTAGCGCCAAAAGGAAGCCTATCGGGCCACGCATCTAATCGCCGCCAACAAACAAACACAAAAATCTGTAATAAATACTACGCGAGGCTACCAGAATACGCTCTGGCTCATCGTTAGCCAGTGGAAATCTTATCGTAGCGCAGACCGGTGCTGGCCACCTGCACCACAGCACTTGCACCTGTCGCCTGATACTCTCTCTCTCTTGGATGGGTGCAGACAAACCGAGCTTATAGAACGCTTTGGTTCGATGGCCTTCATTTTCCTGCAGTTTTTAGCAGCTGATTTGATGTCTCAGGGCAGAAACAGAACCGCTGACAAGGGCAGGGACAGCGACACTCAGAAGAGGGCAGCACTCAAAAGTCTCTGACATTGAATTTATCGCCTATCGTTTACACACTCTGCCCGACTGTGCCTCTGCCCCATTGTGTGGCAATTAGAGCTACAGCATTCAAAGCTGAATGTATCTGTAAGAGGCCTTCAGGCAAGAATGTCAGCTTCCAGCTGCCACCCAATTGTGATGTAATGAAGATTGAAGGGGTGCCACAGACAGGGCCTCAGCTTGGGTGTATGTTCAATCAATCAGCACAAATTATGTGCCACAGAGATCAGCGTAACTAGCGACAGAGGTGACTACAATTATTTCCCTTTCTTTGCAGACCCAAAAGTACTTCCAAAGCAGCTGCGAATTCCGTGTGATGCGTGAATAGAAGGAGACCAAGAGGAGCATCCACAAGAGAGTCACAAATTCTGGAATCACAAATCAATATTCACTCGAAAGAAATTCGAAAGAAAGAAAGCCAAATGCTGACGCAACCGAATGCCAATTTCAGTTGCACGAACTGAAACGGATACTCAATACAGAAGCACACACTCAAACACACACAGAATGGATGAAATGCAGGCCTCCAATGTGCCCCTGGTGGACAAATGCAATGCCACAAAGGCAGTCATACTGCCAGCCGCAGCAACAGCAACGACAGACATCACAGAAGGAGCAACAGCAGCAACAACACAGCCAAATGCCGTGCTCTATAAGAGCAGCAACAACAGCGCCACGCTGTCAACGCTCTCCCAGAGCCCCACACATAATCACAATCTTAATACAAATCTTAATCCCAATACCAATCCCACACCCGTGCCACTGCTGAAGCCGCTGCAGGGATTGCCGCTGCAGAAGATGACCAACGACCTGAAGCAATGCAATGCCAATGTGAACCATGGGTGAGTAGTCCTTGTCCATTATTCCTTGCTATTTCCACTAATGGCATTATCTGGGATTATGCTTGTGTGTGTGTACCCAAGGACCATGTCCTTTATTTATGCTACAAGGAATGGGCGGGCGGCACTGGGACTGGATGTAGCCACATGTCATTTATAACGCCTTGACACCCACCCATCCAACTGTCCGCCTGTTCCACTTTTGTCTATTTAAATCACAAATCACAGAAGCACAGGAAACAATGAGCCTTAAGGGGGGATGAACTGGGTCTCTATTTATGGAACTCGACTCAAAATTAGCTATGGCAATGGGTCTGTTAATGGGACTGGGACTGGGTCGGGACATTCCGTAATATCCGCATCTGCCACGCACCCACGCGACAGCCCAACGCACACGCCATCAAGGTGCGCCGCGTAGAGGCAAAGAGGCGAAGGAAGCGACTACAGAAAATCGATGGCTGCTTCTACTCGACAAGCGACATCCGACATCTGACATCCTCCTTGTAGCTCTGTGTGTAGCTCCACAAAAGGCATGTCGGCATGGTGATGGGCGCCCACCAAACTGGAGCCGTTCCACAGGATTATGCAGCCACAAATGTTGGAAAAATCATTTAAAAATGCATTCCTTAGACATTTTCTTAGACTTCAAGTGGGTATTGGGGCTGAGGCGCTGCTTGTGGGAGTATCCTTCAGATGTCAGTCGTGCAGGTGGTAAGCCGCGCTGCAGCCTTGAGCTGTCATCGCACAGAAGCCGAAGCCGAAGCTGAAGCCGAAGCAAAAGCGTAATTAAAATGCTAATAGAAGAGAGATCTAATGGAAAATGCAAACACACACACACACACACACTGCCACGCCTCTCCTCTGCCGCTATATCCACGTGGAAATCAATGCAGCGCAGAGTGTAATTAAAACTGGAAGGTCACCAGGTCCTGTCGGTGTATCCAGGCAGCCTCCTCCTGCTTCTGCCATATGTGCGGCACAATTGAAGCAATCAAGCGGCCAGTCAGCGCATAGAGAGAAATGGCTTTAAGTGCCCCGCCCCGCACCTAGCTTGTTGCCCCATAAATAATATGCCACAAAAACAAACGCACACAGAAATGTATCCAGCCATGAACAGAGGAAGGAACGGGAGGGTGTTGAGAGCTGAATGTAATGCCGCCGAAAGAACTAAAGCCAGTGACAAAAAGGGGATACTGCCTCACCGAACAAAGGATGCTCTTTACATGCAGCTAATATCCTCCCCCTGTTGCCACTCTCCCCTAGACTGTTCCCTCAATCAAACTCCTTTCTCCCCTGCCACTTCCTTCAGCCAAGCAACTCCTTCTGAATGGTAGAGCAACTGCCTGAACGGACCTCGCGGCGCCGCATGCCTTTGGCTGTGTTGGGAAAAATCGAACAAGCCGCCACGCCATGCCACGCGACAGCCTGCTGCTGTCCAAAGTTGTGCCCGTAGTCTGGCAGTCGTACTCCGTGCGGCATTTAGTTCTGTGTGGCACTTGCCTGTGTATGGGGCGCCGCTTGTCTCCAATTTTCGCTTTAAATATTGATAGAAATATTAGACAAAAAAACAAAAAGAAAAATCGAAGAAAAATGCTACCCCAATAGGCGGCGGAGCAACGGGGAGGTGTGGAGTCGCATATCCGCAGTCGTTTTTTACGTGCAAGTTTTTGTTTTGTTTTTGGCAAGTGAACCTGTGTGTGCCCCGCCACGAGTTATGTAATATGAAGTTGCGGCAAAAAGCTACAAGACTGTCGAGACTGTGGGACGCCGTGCAACCTGTAAATCTAAGCTCGTGGCAGGCACCGCCTGGACTGACCTTCTGATACGCTTCGAGGGCAACGGAAGGCGGTGCTACACCCACATCCACCGTACCGTACCACCGTACATCCGTTTGCATATTTGATTGACCTTCTGCTTGAGTGTATCCTTTACAGCGATGAGTGTCCTTTGTCTGCTGTTCATTCCGCCTGCAACGCAAGTGGATTAAGCTCGCAGTGCCCCTCCATTCAGGAAGGGAATTTAATGCTTTTATTAGTGTCGTCTCTCGTTGATTAACCGCTCTTACAGCGGCACTGCCACTGTCCTCCTCCCTGTGTGTGTGGGGCATTTATGAGCTGTTTAATTGTCGTTTAGCAATGGATGATCTAATCCGCACAGTCGAGTGCTGATATTTCCGGTTGGCGACTTTAATCAGTGCGCAAACGAAACAATGTAACTTCTCTCCATGGTATCAAGGTTCAGGCGGGTAGGGACTGGACTGGAACTCGTGTGAACTGTGGCAGGCAACAGCAGCAGGCAGCTGCTTTATGGACTCTACAAACCAGCAATCAATCAAATAAAATAGGTAGCCCAGACATCGATGCTACAATTAGCTGGCATTAAGATTGATAATACGTGTACGTTGGAGTGGTTTCCAAGTTCCCCTTGTCGAGTGGCGTCGCGTGACTTTATTGAATTTGCATCCAATTGAGCGAACTTAATTGCATTGCTAGGCCTATGAACTGTGAACTGTGGGTGCACCTCTCTGCACAGCCCCCAAGGCTTCTTTATTCTTTCTTCTTTGACTAAATGCAAGTGCAAATATCGCGTGCATTTCGCAAGCCAAAGACCAAAGCAACCACCCTCCGTGCCCCTTCCCGCTCTAACCCACAGCAACTGCTTCTTTCTTTCTTCGTTCTTCGTTCAGTTTACAGCGCGCTCTGCTCTCGCTGCTGCTCGTGCGTTCGCTTCGTTCGTTCGTTCGCTTGCTCTGCTCGCTCGCTTCGTTGAGTTCGTTCACCGCACGAGTGTGAGTGCAAGCGAGTGCATGCGCACTCAGAATGTACCCAAGTTTTAGGTGCACGAGCACCCAGTTTCGCGCGAAACGATTCGCAATACTTATGGATACACAACTACAGGCACACACTGTTACAATTGCAATTATAGATACGCAGATACACAGATACACAGATGCGAGCAGAAGTTGCTTCGGATATGGGAGGGGAACTGGGTCTGACGGGGTCTTCATATATTTATCGTATTTCGAAAGAGGCCAACAAGCTAAAGCCAAACATAGAAAAAGCAAAACAACAACAAAACAATCAAGTACAGATAAATACAAGTGCAAAGCAAAAGATACACTTACCATGGGGCCAATTTTGAATTCAAATTGAATGGCAGATCCAATAGGTTCTTGGAGTGCGATCTGCAAAAAATAGAAGTAAGAGGTGTTCTTTAGGGTTCGTTAATGATGTTCCTAATATTCCGATAATTTCTGCTATTTTTGTTGATCAATAAACAAATATTAGGAACCCCCGAAATGGGGAGAATTTTACACCAACAATAAATAAATAATGTACTGCCCGAAATGGAAAAAGTTTTAAGCATTTATGGGCGTATGCAACCACTACCAATACTGCCAATAAATAATAAACATTAAATAAATAAATTACTACCCAAAAGCGGAAAGAGTATTAACAATTTTGCCGGACTGAGCAGCACCATGACGACAATGACGATGAGAAATTGTTCATTATTCATTGGTAGTGGTAGCACGCACACTCTCCCCCCGCTTAGCCGTATCTTTATTCAGTTAACAGAGAGCGGGAGAGCAAGAGAGAGCGCAGAGCAGCGGCCCCGCATGGCTCTCAGCCAAACAGCTGATAGGGAAACCCGCACGCCCCGCCGTTCCAGCCAATTTCCATTTCAATTTTAATGCCCGACTCGACTCCGTTTACGGCAGCGAAATTAGAGACAAATTGCTGGGATGCCAATCTCCCGCTTTGCCTTTTGCCGCTGACTTTTGAAGTGCGTGCGTATCTGATAGATACGTTCTATTCCGCGCATGCCTCAGCTGATGAGCTGATAAGCTGCTATTTTCCAGATAAAAATACTGACACAGAATCTGGCAGAATGTTTTTCTCCATCTTTAGTGAATGGGTTCCGCCTCCAATCAATCACGCAATCAACGAATTTGCACCCGAAAGACATGTAATAATGTTAATTGGCATTGGCCCCCGTCACACTAATGAAAACGCACTCAAACCACTCCTCCTTCTCCCACACCCCTCTCTGTTTTTGCGCGACATTTCATGAATGGAACCCCCACACGCGACAGACAGCGAGAGACTCGAACTTTGGCATTTTGCAGCGTCGCTGGGTGGGTGCCTGGGTGTTTCCGTTTCCCCTTGTGGCTTGCCGCTAAATGCTGCTGATTGATCGATTGATTGCCCCCATTCAGGTCGTTAGCGAAGGTGCCACATCATGTGGCATTCACATAGCTAAAGGGAACAAAAAGGGAAAAGGGAAAAGGGAAAAGACGAAGACAAACATGAACATGGAAATGACGCTGACGCGCTGCAGCAGCGTGAACAGCGGCTGCGGCATACAGAATTCCAGCTTCGAGGCGGAGCTGCTGCAGCGTCAGGAGATGCAGCAGCAACATAGTCGCTCCATGTCCTTTGTGCAGACAAAACTCACGAAAAACGGCAGCTGTGTGAGCGCCCTGCAGCGGCCCGAGGACTGTGCCGCATGTTGGCTTAAGTAGGCGCCACACAACACAACACACCCCACCCAACCCAAGAGCCAACCCCGCAACTAATCACGGATTTCGCTTCTGCTTGAACTATTTTCTAGGTCACAGAATAACCTGTGCAATGGCGTGGGCGTGGCACTGGCCCCCAAGGTGCTGAACAACGGCAGCAGCAGCAGCAATGGCCAGAAGAAGGGCACCATCTCGCTCTCCCACCTGCCCCAGCGGCCGCCGGTGGAAATTGAGTTCTGTGATATATCCTACTCGGTGGCCTTCGGGCATCGCCGTGGCTGCAAGACCATCCTGAAGAGCGTCTCCGGGAAGTTTCGCAATGGCGAGATCACAGCCATCATGGGTCCCTCGGGTGCGGGCAAGAGCACGCTGATGAATATCCTCGCGGGTTACAAGTGAGCCAAAAAAATGCATTTTTCACTTACAGAAACATTCACTAATCTTTCTCCTATCCTTGAAGGACTGCTCAACTCTCTGGTTCGGTGATGATCAACAGCAAGGAGCGCAATCTGCGCAGATTCCGCAAACTCTCCTGCTACATCATGCAGGACGATGTCCTGATTGCCAATCTAACCGTCAGCGAGGCCATGATGGTGGCCGCTAATCTGAAACTGGGCAAACACATGATCTCCTATGCCAAGCGTGTGGTCGTGGAGGAGATCCTGGAGACAATTGGCCTCAAGGAGTCGGCGCACACGCTGACCTGCAATCTGTCGGGCGGGCAGCGGAAGCGTCTGTCCATCGCCCTGGAGCTGGTGAACAATCCCCCCGTGATGTTCTTCGATGAACCCACCTCGGGCCTGGACAGCTCCACCTGCTTCCAGCTGATTTCGCTGCTGCGTTCGCTGGCACGCGGCGGCCGCACCATTGTCTGCACCATCCACCAGCCATCGGCGCGACTCTTCGAGAAATTCGACCATTTGTATCTGCTGGCCCAGGGGCAGTGCGTGTATGAGGGACGTGTGCGCGGTCTGGTGCCGTATCTGTCATCGCTCGGCTATGAGTGCCCCTCTTATCACAATCCCGCGGATTACGTCTTGGAGGTGGCCTCCGGGGAGTACGGCGATGCGGTGCCCAAGCTCGTGGATGCCGTCAAGAGTGGAGCGTGCAAGAAGTACGCCCACAAGGACTACTGCCTCACGCTGCTGCCCGCCAAGACCACAGTGAGTGCCGTGCTGCACGTGGAGGATGAGAAGCCACTGCTCGCGGGGAACATACAACATCCGCTGGATGGGGATGCCGAAGCCGAAGCCGATGCCAATGCCGATCCGGATGAGGATCTAAAACCACCGAAGCTGGAGGCGCAACAATCGCAAAACTCCGACTGCAGCGCCGTCATTCTGATGCCACAAACCAACGAGGACAGCTGCAGCTTCAGCTCCTCCAAGGGCGGCGGGGCGCCCGGCAGTGCTGCAGGTGGCCCAACCACTGGCGGCGTTGTGGGCTGCATGACCTCGCTGCTGGACTCGCACGAGAGCGTGGTGACGCTGCCGAACAAGACGGGTTTCCCCACCAGCGGCTGGATGCAGTTCTGGATACTGCTGAAGCGCTCCTTTCGCACCATCATGCGGGACAGGATGCTCACCCACATGCGACTCTTCTCGCATGTCATTGTGGGCGCCATCATTGGCATGATCTACTACGATGTGGGCAATGAGGCATCCAAAATCATGAGCAATGCTGGCTGCATATTCTTTGTGTCACTCTTCACCACTTTTACAGCGATGATGCCAACCATTTTGACATGTGAGTGGGAAGAGATGATCCTTTGTTGCTCCACTTATGGCAGATTTATTTTCCTCCCTTGTAGTTCCCACGGAAATGTCTGTGTTCGTGCGGGAGCATCTCAATTATTGGTACTCCCTGAAGGCCTTTTACTTTGCCAAAACGATAGCGGATATGCCCTTTCAGGTGAGTCTTCCAGCCACTCCCTCCGGTGTTTTCTCTGCTCTAACAACTGCTCTACCCTTCCCTAGATTGTCTTCTCCAGCGTCTATGTTCTGGTCGTCTACTATCTGACATCGCAGCCCATGGAGTGGAATCGTGTGTCCATGTTTGTGCTCATTCAGGTGCTCAATTCGCTGGTGGCGCAGTCGCTGGGCCTGCTCATTGGCGCTGGCATGAACATTGAGACGGGCGTGTTCCTGGGGCCCGTCACCACCATACCCACGATATTGTTCTCCGGTTTCTTTGTGAACTTTGACACGATTCCAGGCTATCTGCAGTGGGTGTCGTATGTCAGTTATGTGCGCTATGGCTTTGAGGGTGAGTTTGAATATATTTCCTAAGAGTTTCCTCTCTAATTCTCTGTCCCTGCAGGCGCCATGGTTGCCATTTATGGCATGGATCGTGCCAAGCTGCAGTGCAATCAAATGTACTGCCATTATCGCATGCCCAAGAAGTTTCTCGAGGAGATGTCCATGGACAATGCACGCTTCTGGGTGGATGCTGTCGCCCTAACGGGGATATTCTTTGCCCTGCGCATCTTTGCGTACTTTGTGCTGCGCTGGAAGCTGCATATGATACGCTAAGCGGGTCCTAGTAGCCCCCCCCCCCAATTTGTAAATACGAGTAAAAAGTTCAGGGATCAAAGGATCAACGTAGTTATTCAATTTTCTCCCCCTACACCCGTTTAGGCTTTGTACCTTTATACACCACACAAATACACACACAGATTACCGCCAGAAGGGTATTAAAACACGGCAGGCAGCAGCACGGTTCTTATAATATTTATCTATAGATAGATAGAAAAATACAGACAGATACATACATAGATAAGCTGTAGGCTGTAGGCTCTGTAGTCTCTGTAGTCTCTGTTCTGCTCTGCATACCCACAGAAACACATTCTGATACATTTACATTTAGTTACTATATATTCTAAACACCCATCTATAATTAGTTTGGTTCGTTCATCCCATCCCGTACACGTGCCGCAATACCCCTACTACCGATGCCCCTCCCTTCCTGCTGCTGTAGCAAATAATTCTTGTGACCAAAAAAAAGCTGAAAAGAGTCTGAACTTAAAAGTAGAAAAAGAAATTCCCCATTCGAAACCTTTTCCCAACGTTCTTCACTCCGTCCTAACCTGTAGCTTGTGTGTGCATGAGTGTGCGTGTGTGTGTAGGCTCCCTCTCCTCTTCTGGGAACCCCACCTTTTTCGCTACTTTTTTTTAGTAACTAAGTTCTGGGATAGTACCACATCTAGGGATACATTTATCATCATTCTCCCCTTGTGATACGAACGAGAGGGCAGCAGCAGCTGGAAGGGGCGGTGTTACTGGAATCCAATCAGAATTTGTTGTACAGTTTTACGGCGTATTTGTGATTATTATATTTTAATTTAGTAATTTGTTTCTTTAGTTTAATTCTATGCCAACTACATTTATCATGCTAAAATAAATGCAATTATCATTTGAGCCGCTCTATAGCCTTACTCTTTAACCCTCTCTTTCGCTCTGCCCTTTATGTTCTCTTAAGATCCAAAGATTGCCCTTGGGTGTGATATTTGTAAGGACAAAAGTGAAATTTTTGTATAAACTAAAAATCTGTGGCAACATATTCAGCCTCTCCTCTCAGAGGAAGTGCAACTATATCATAATTCTCGACTAAGCAATTGGTTCAACAAAATGAACTGTACATACTAAGGATATATTTACGTGCATGTGTCGTACAATGTGTCTGTATGATATTATTAATTAATGTAAAACCAACAAAATACACAGCAACACCCACACAACACATCAAAATCCAACAGATTTGCATTCAAAATCGTCGATCCTGTAGATTTGTATAAATAAAGAATCCAAAAATATCATCAAACATCTAAAGAAGATTTTCACTCAATAAACTTTTGAGTTAAGGGGCAGATGGTGGGGTTCCAGCGAGCAGCAAAGCACATATTTCCTCTTTCCACAGACACACTTGGCAGTTTCTTGCCAGTGAGATTTTGTCAGCACAGTCGATGCAGTTTCACTCCAACAAGCTGTTGTCAGAGCTGAGTTTTGTCCATCCAAATATCCTATCAATATATCCTTTTCCGGTTCGTGTCCCAACTTAAAAACTGAATACTACACCAGATGGCGCTTATAGGAGTGATCGCTGACAAAAGCTAGCTTAACTAAAACTGCTGTTAATTAACATCTGCTAGGTGCTCCTATGTGCAGCTATGTTCAGTAACAGAACAGACAGCTGCAATATCTTTTTAAGGTTTGTGTCTTAACTAACAATAATTAAATGTTTCACGAGACGCCTGAGAGGGGGCGTTTAAGTTAGAATTTACTGCCAAATGGTCAATGTGTGGGGCCAAGTAGAGCCAAGAAAGAGCATACCCAATACATCTTCACTATATCTTCTATACTAGACGGTGCAATATTTACTCAATATCAAGAAAAAAAGCACCTTGAACACTCAAAATTGAATCCCCTTTTTCAGCTCCGTCTTTTCCTTTCAGTTGTCTCATGTCTCAGCGTCATATTTCATGATGTTTCGTATCGATTGCAATTCATCTTTATCCGCCCCATATCCTTCAAACGTTTATTGCAGTGCACGCTCCCACTCTCCCTCTCTCTGCCAACCCACAGCCATTAGAATGCTGGAAATTCCGACCCCAACACCCCCCTAAGCACAGTCCGCATGTCGCTCCATGTATTCGAACATCAATATTGCAATGCCATTTGACATTTGTAACGCCAAACGGGGCACAAAACTGATGTTAGAGGCAGCAAAAAACTAGCCGCGTGGGGCAGACAAACACACACAGACATGCAGGGGGGGTCAGCATATGGGGCAATGTTGCAATGTCACCGGTCAAACGGAGTGATTTTTATTGGCTTGTTGCTTTTTCGATTCACTGATAAATTGTTAATGTTTCACCCAAACACACACATGCACACAGCCATAGATACACACAGATAGACATGGCTGGGCAGGGGGACAATTTATTATTTATGTGCCGCTAAGCTACAGAGAGAGAGAGAGAGAGAGAGGCCACTGCAGATGCGCCACCAACGCTGGGCAGCCCCCAAAGGCAAATGATAATATTTTTGGAAAATGGAAATGGAAAATTGCATTTTCCCAAAACAAATACAAATACGAAAATACAGCTACAAAATGTGTGTGCATAGAAAATTGTGGCAGCACGGGAGGGGGTGGGGTGAGGAGGCACAACAGTATCTATAAATCAAACAAAATCATTTGGATCTGTGGCACTGCAGCAGCAGCAGGACGAAGGATGTAGAATGCTAAATATGTTTACTGGGGTTGGGTGGTGTGTAGCCGGCCGGCAATTAATGCCCGCTGCCAAAACCGAGAGCCAAACGAGCGGCAAACGAGCAGAGCAGTTCGCACTTTAATTAATTAGACATTCATTTGCAGCATGCCCCCGAGGCCAGTCTGTGTCTCTGCCTCACACTCCATCTCCAACTGCAATCGCTTTTCGCTGTGTGTCTCTCTGTACTGTACCCTTGGCGCTGGACAGCAGCAGCAAGCAGCACCGGATGGCATCGGTGGCAGGCAGCAGGCAGCAGGCATTATGCTTCGCAGGCGTAATAAATTAGCACAAACATGCCACTAAAATGGCACGCCCACCTGCCCCTAAAGGCTTGCGCCAGCTCACAGCTCTGAGCCGTGCCGTGGCGTGCGCCGCCGCCCACTCTAAAATGCTGTCAATGCAGTTCAGATGCCAATGCAATTCCATTCTGTTGCCCCACTCTCGCATTCATACCATCGCACGTCTGGGATTTGGCTTGGGATTTGCGCACAATGTGTTTAGTGGCAGCAACACCCAGTAACTGCAATTGCAACCAGCTGCAGCTGCCCCTCCACCTGATCTCCTCAGTCTCTGAGACGCTGACGAGGACAAGTAAATCAAATGAAATGCATGCAATGCATAGCCAAGTGCGAGTGCGAGTCTCCTTGGCCAGCATATGTTTGCCTGCTCCTGTTGCTCAGGGACTCCCTCTAATGCTCGGGCATTAATTGCAGTTGCAACTTAAACTTTAAACACTTGCAAGGACTGCACGTGGCAATGGACAGTGGCAACTAGGGGATGCTCTTTCGGCAGTAAGAAAACGCCAGAAAACTTGCAAATATTATTGGGGTGCATGCAGAAGTGTTCATGGGTCGATTCTGCCTGGGGTTTGGGCATAAAAAGCTTCGGCTTCGGGCACTTTTCCTGCCTAAACATCAACCTTCTAGACTCTCTCCAAGTTAAGGTATTTGCCACTGCAATTGTTTAATTATTGCAACTATTTGTAGCTATTTGATTAAAGTCTCTCTCTGTTCCTCTTAAAAGTAAATCCCCCATTTGCCCTGCAGAAGTATCTCTGATTTGTGGCACATCCACATGTCACTGCGAGATACGAATAGAGCTCTTTCCCTTTGCTGCTGTTGACTCCAGCTACAGCTTCGGCTTGCCGGCTCCCTGTCTGCCCCGTTTTGTCGCTCAAGTTTTTGTCGCTTTCGCCTCCCGACTTTCTCGCTGCATACGAAATTTATGGGTTTTATTGTGTGATTTATGCATCGCTCGCTGAATGACCAACGCCGCACGCAACTTGCAACGCGAAACGCTCGGAACGACTTTACGTTGCGGCGGAGTGCAGATTTTTACGCCGGAAATGTGCCCATCGACTGCGTGTTAAGTCTCACACACACACCCAGAGAGAGAGAGAGACATTCAGTGTGTGTGTGTGTGGCAAGTTTTTTTTTATGGCCTTACGTTTTTATTGCCAGCAAGTGCAACCGCCATATCCCCCAACCAACCAGCGATCCAGCTACCAGCTACCAGCGACCAGCGACCAGCGACCGTGTTTTACTTATTTAATTTTTTCGCTCAACTCCGCGAACCATGTCCCTGTCCATGTCCTGTTCGTGTCCGTGCACTACCCCATGGTGTCGGTGTCCGTGTCTGGTGTCTGGCGGCACGGTCTGGTCCCGGTAATTGACAGCGGAAGGCGCACGTGTGTGAGGTCATTGATATGGGAGTGGCTTGGCGCTCGGCCCGTTGCTTGCCCCGCTAATGTGCAGCTGCATCTTGTATCGTGCATCTGCATTATGTGAGCGCCGCAACAAGCGAGAGTCCAAAACGTGCCATAAATCGCAATCAGAGAAGCGCTGCCTCAGCTCATGTCCATCAACATGCGAACATGACAATTACGCATACGCAGACGGGCACTGTCCCCTGTGCTCTGGCTGTGGCAAGATCCCTCTGGTGGCTGCCCCTTAGGCCTGCTTTTTTTATTGCCTGTGCTTCAACTTTGAGTTTAAAGCGCGGAAATAAAAGAAATTTATTGCACTTTTGCAATTATTGCAAACCAAAGCAATAACCGGAGCACGGAGCTCGGAGCTCGGAGCACTCCATGTGCTTGGCATTGCTTTGGGGCGAATGTTTCACGCCTCGCTAACTTGTTGGCCCCTACCCGCCCCCCCACACACGCACACACACACACAGAGAGTGTGACAGATGGAAAGCAGAGCAGGAGCCGCCGCCTGAAGGCTTCCCATTTGAAATTCCATTTTTATTGTTGCTCGACACTTAACTTTATTAATTTTCCAACCAATGACGAGTGCGTAACCTACACTCTCTCTCCCTTTGGTAATCCATTACCGCAGGTGCCGTAAAAATGCTTAGTTTACGATTTGCGATTAACGCGAAACAAGTGCCCCATAAAAACCTCACAGCGTCTGCCCCGTCCCGTTCCCTTTTGTTTTTAGCCAAGGGATAGAAAGGGAGAGAGTTGCCTCCCTGCGACTGAGGCCCATTATTCGATTAATTTCAATAGAACGAATCGGAAATTTCAAGTTGCTGCACACATAAAATCCTTGTCGCAGCAACAAACTGCTGACACTAAATCTCAACTGCGCCTTTAATTAAAAGTTGCCACTCGAAGGGAGACAAGTTTTACGACAGGTTCTGTCCTTCCACCGTTCGACTACCAGCCCCAAAATTAGGCTCCACGACAAATTATGCAAAAAGCATAAGTGCAAAAAAGCGGCCCACTTAATCACTCAGCTTCTGGCTCTTCCGCCACGCTGACATCGGTGGCTCCATTGGCTGGCTGAAGAACGGAAGCGGCAGCGGCAGCGGCAGCGTCGCAGCCAAAAGAAATTAAAGTGAAGTATGCCCCACAGGAGAAACTTTTGGCTGCCTCTCAAATGGTGTCTCTGCCATCGCTACACCGGATGGCGTAACGACGAGAACTAGACGACGGCGGACTGCCGCTGCGACTCCTGTTTCAGCTCCTTCGAAAGCACATAAATTTTAATAATTTATCCTATATTATTCCACTTAAGTCGTTTAGATTTTCATAATAAATTAATAACGACAAGCGGCAGGGCGGCAGGGCGGCAGCTCGACCTTGCGGCCGATTTCTGGGTCCATTTCTGTGTTTCCCCCGCCTCGGAATGGGCATGGGCATAA